CCCCCCCCCCCCCAAAAAAAAAAAAAAAAAAAAAGCCAAAAACCCACACGGGCAACACCCTCAACAACAAAGGAGTACCTATTGAATTCGCTCTCATTCCAATCGCCTTCTTGTCAAGCAATAGAAGGCTTCAACCTCTGATTGTGGCCAAAGTCTGAAGCTGCTAAACAATGAGAGAACAGATGAGTAGCCAATGTCTGAAGACTTCGTATCCTGTGCTCCCTTGAACTTGCAATATCATATGGGGAGAACATTTTCCTTTGCTATTCATGTAGTCAATGTTTTTTTGCTGTTACCTAACAAAGAAAAGCCACATTGAATGGCACTTTGGTACACCATATAGCCTTTGATGAAAGTGTAGGGAGTATTTGGCCATTTAATCGTGAAAGAGGGAGTTTAGTGCAGATACAAAAGGTGCAATAGAGGAAGAGATCTTCTGTAAGTGGTGCCAGCTTTAGATACAATTGTAAAATTATATGTAGTCAATAAGGGAACACATGATATTATTAATGAGTCATACAATCACCCCACTTGGCTCGAAACTTATTGAAATCTGATGTAATCCTTGCTATCTTTCTAAATAAAAAAATACGTAAATAATTATGTGAGGCGAGAAATTCTTGTCATGACCTTTTGCATAGAGTTAAACAAAACAATGATTTACATGGTAGGATTTCTTCTTGGGCAGCAATGTTTGTGCTCTGTAGATGTATTCTAGTGCTCTAAACTTTATTTTCTGATGAGGGCAGTTTTGAAAATGTCCTTGGAAAACACAAGAATTTTTTTTTTAAGGTAAATGACACAAAAATTTCTCTGTTTACTATCCAACTATACTCCATCCCTCCTTTGCTTTGCCTCTGGTAAGTATCTTCGTTTGCTTGAACAAATCCCTGAGCAAGAAATCAATTCAATTACATCGCTTCCAGAAGTTAGTTTTATCCTGGTGCAAATATTCAGAAACCACAAGACAACTCTATGATTGCTTGTGTTCTACACTTGTATGCTTACATTTGTTTTTTGATAGTAAACGAGAAAATATTGTAAAGATAATAAAAAAGTACATGGGAGGACAAGGAGTCCTCAACAGTTACATTAAAAAAGAAGAAATTAGAGAGTCTAAAGAGGCTATGAATACAGAAAAATGAAAGATAAAGAAGTGAGGGAGTCATATGATAGCACGAGCAAAAGAGGACTGGCCCAGTGGTAGGTGCCTGTCCCACCTTGCCTTTTGGGTGAATAGCATTTTGAGTGTGAGAATTCTTTTTTGTATCACGAATAGCGCTGCCCTTTGTTCTTTTCTCATTAGCAAATAGACATGCCTGGTAACAAAAGCTGCTTTTAGATAATTAGCAAAACATTACTTGGACGTTGTTTGTTAACTCAATTACGTACATGAACTGAAATTACTGTGATGTTGATAGCTCAATCAAGTACATAAACTCAAATTTTCTGTCAAGTACTTGACATTGAAATTATGCAGTGATTTTTTTTTATTTAAGTTTCAATTAATAATTAGATGTACTTAGCAAGTGCTTGTAGTATAGTGGACCTAGGTAGTCGGGGAAGGAGAATTTGTAGGGAGATGGAGAGAGAGAGAATTTTTTTTAGAGTTTTGGGGTTTTCTTGATAGTAGTTCTGGTGGAGCAAGAGCTGCTGCAGATAATCTGATTAAAAAAGAGCTGCCAATATACCTTCCAGCCACTGAAACAGCAACACGCCTGCTGGTGAAACCACTTTCCTATGCCAATAACATAATAATAGCAAAACGTTATGACTCACAAATAAACACACTCATTTTGTATTTAGGCATTTTTCTTACTTTTTGTAAATGGCTGAGGCCATATTGTTGCAGCAATTTGGATTATGCACAGTAAGTTTAGTGGTATGACATACAATTGTCATGTATGAAAAACTTTAAGAATTCCCATTGAGTTTAAATGTCTAGATTCAACAAAAAAAGTTTTAAGGGAAAATTGTACAGTTAATATTTTTCAGACTTTATGTTTTTATTATTGTTTTCAACTCAATTCAACACATACATTTAAGCTAATTCAATTTATTTTATAGACTACAAAACCAGGAGGTTATAGTTTTTAGTTTGAAGGTTACACTAAAGTTTAGTCGGTCGTCCAACCCTACGCATTGCAGAGTAGGTTGTGGCTAAATTTGGATCGAGTAGCAATGCTTTGATGGATCCCAGGGTATATTTTTTATCTTAATTTTTTTTTGGGGATTAGTGGTGCATCTTGACTCTTTAGCAATTGTTAATAAAGTTTACTTACAACTTTAACATGACTAGCCTTAACAAATACATTCTTTCTTCGTATAAAATAGGCATTTTTCAAAATTTTTAAACTTTGTTAATTAACGTCAACAGATTTTTGAATTTTAGCAGTAAACACGTCCTAAAGATGTGTCAGGCACATCACAAAAGGAGTGTCAGACACGTGCCCGAATTAAAATCTTATTTATTTTTTAGTTATGTACGCGGATGGAAGACTATTGAACAGGTGTCCGACACGGATACGTTGCCTCTGTAGCAGTGCCGGTGCTTTTTAGGGTGTACTCAAAGTCAACTTCATTTTGTATTTTAAACATCAAATTAGCTTCTGAATTCGACAATTGTTTGGTTGCAAGTGAATGTTTAATTTGAAGGATTAGAATATCAGTGCCATTGATCTTTAAAAAACACTTGCATTAGGTCAGTTTAGATCTTTTTCCTTGAAGCTGGCAAGGAATTATTACCATTATAGCTGTTATTATTTTGGGAAAGCATTTGAATTGTACTGGTCAACAAATTCATATGGGCATGAATGAGGTTATAGGTGGGGGCACAATTGTTGTAGATTTTATTGTTTTGGGAAAGGGTTGATTATGATTATCCTTTGGAAAGTTAGAAATTCTTGTACATTATCTCAACTTTAAGGGTTGAATTTTCCTCGTCACGACAAGGGAAACATTATTGGTAACTCATCTTATGAACCTTCAGACCTTTTTCTTTGCAATCTGTGGGGTTCTTCAATTGTTCGCAACTTTCTACAATTTCTTCTGTTTCCATTTGTTGTACATTATTTGAAAACTATGTAATAGCAACCCATATATGTGCCACTTTATATTTTGTCAAGAAACACATCTTTCAAATGAATCGTATTTATATGACCGTATTGGCCGATATTGTGACTTATGAAATTCATTCTTGTAGCATTCTTTCAGCAGAATTCATGCGTGCATCTATACATGATGCCGGAGATATGGATGTGGTAATATTATCAAAATCTAAAGCAAGGGCAACCATACCCAGTAATGGAACATATGAGGAAGTAAGTATTTTCATGTATAAAATTATAGATTCTGTATTCTATCACTCCCTTTTTTATAGGGAAAATAAAGAATAAGTCCTACTTTAGCGCCAAATACCTACTAAGTCCTTTAAGTTTTTAGTAGTAACAATAAGTCATTCTTTTTCAAAGATGATTCCAGACAAGTACACAATCTATTTTTTTCCAGTTTTATCCCTCATAACTAGAAAGCAAAATTTATTTCAAACTCTAAAACTATTATGATTTCATAATAGTTTTAGTTTCCATTCATACCAAATTAAATAATTCAATTCACTTGATGATTTTTTGCCACTTAGAATAGTTATCAATTTAGTGATTAGATTAAACTTAGAATATTTTTCAATTTAGTGATTAGATTAAGTTTTTTTACAAGTTTTAATTGGATATTTATTTTGTAATTTATAATTTAATAAATTCTTACATATTTAGAGTGATAGTACTATGGTTTTGATGGTTATAAGGGGTGAAATAGGAATCAAAGTAGATTGTGTATTTCTTTGGAATCAATAATGGAAAATTAGAACTTATTGGTACCGCTAAAAATTTATAGAACTTAATAAGTATCTGGCATGTAAAGTAGGACTTGTTGGTATTTTTCCGTATTTTATAATGGAATCTTGTCGATCTGCAGCTGTCTTTCCTCTATATAGTTTGTTGTACTTGATTAATCTTACGTTTGTTTAATACTTTTCCTCAAAAATGTTTGTTGAGGAAGTTTCATAATGTTTTTTTTTCCCCTTTGGGGTTGGGGGTTGGGGAAGGGAAACTAACAATGATTTCATGATTCCTATTTCACATTGATAGTTTTTGTTATTATGTTTGATTCTTTTGATCTTTGATTCCACTGGTATTGGTATTGGTATTGGTATTGGTATTGGAAGAGATGACAAGTTTATTCCTTGTGAGAATAGAACTAAAAGTTTTAACACCAAAATAAGTGCGACAATTTTATGTTTGATGTTCAAGGAGCTTTGTAGTTTGTAAAAAGATATGGGCCTAACAATCTATTTTGTAGCAGCTCTTTGGTGAACTTGTCGTACTCTATTGCTTCATTTCTTTTCAATCGGACTATTTTTGTAGTGTTGTGATTTTTTCTCTTGGATTCTAATAAAAGTAAGTTAGCATGTTCTAGTAAATGGTTTTGAGAAATGTTGAATTCCATTTGGATGACTTAAATTTAAGTTCGAATTTATTTATCATATTTAGACTAAGGAGTTATTATGGCAAGGTATAGGAAGCAGAATCAGATCTAAACAAACTTGGTGTTCGCCCATAAAATCAAGTGCATGAAGTCGGAAGTATGGACAACTTTTACATTTTTGTCATATCTGGGCTCTTAGACATTTGAAGCTGGAGTATGCTCAAGCTCAAGAAGACTCTTTATGTGTGTTCTTTCTCAAATGATTGTGGTCTGATCGAAAATCCACACTTTCTTATGGGAATGGAGGTTAAGATCGAACAAAAGAGTTTCAAGGTGAAAATTGATGGGTCAAATGGTTCTTTGTTTCGCATAATTGAATGGAATAGATCTGGATCTTTCTCATGTAGTCCCCGCTTTGTGTGAGTGTGTCAAGGGGTGAAAGGGGGCTTTCTCACTAGCTTTAATGTGGAATGACCGAGGTGTGTATTTTAGGAAACTTAGGGAGGGAGGTATTGTGTTGGGGTTGAAATGGAGTCCAGTCGCTTTGAGAGAAGAATAAGACTTATTATTCCTTAAGATTATAATGATGAAGGTTACAAAAATTTGTAAAATTGCTTGGTGATGTTCTTTGTGGTAATAATAGTGCTCAGTCTATGGAGATAAACAAGGGTTGGTTGAAGGCATACGTCAGTAGTGTTATTTAAGGGATAAAGCAAACCAAAGCGACGAAGGTTCCTAAAGCTTATGCGAGAAGCGATAAACGAAGTGAAACGCTTTATCAAAGTGAAGCGAACAGTTAAAAAAAAAAGTAATTGTTTTAGTTTAATTATTTCTAAACATTTAAGTTTTAATTTTATATATATTAAATATTTAAATGCAAGTAAAATCATAAAAATTTAAATTAAAATAAACACTAAAATGTTTCAAATCTTAATATCAGTCATAGTTTAAACATTTAAATTCAAATAAACACTAATAATATCTCAAATCCTATTATTTAAAAACATAAGACACATAATTTAAGCACTAAAAAAACCATCTCAAGGTGTTGTGTTATTGTTAAAGTATATCAATCACAATTGTTTTTGTAAATCTATTTTTATGTACAGTTGTGGGCTTGTACACATGTACCGAATCACATTTCATAACAGAGTTGTAAACAATTTCATATTGACTGGTGTTCAAGCTTGGATCATTAAAACAAAGAGTGACTATATGACAGAATAGCAGAAGCAGAACAACACTATCAAAACAGGAAAATTAGCGCTATCAAAACAACAGAAGCAAAACCAGCAAAATCAACAAAACAGTAGCAGCAGAAAAAAAAATAGAAGCAAAATCAGAAAAAAACAGAAGTAAAATCAGGAAAAAAACAGAAGTAAAATAAAAAAAATAAAACCAGAATCAGAAAAAAAAACAGAAGCAGAATAAAAAAAAAACAAAAGCAGACAATTAGCAGAAGCAGAAAAAAAAGAACCAAAAGAGAGAAGAACCAGAACCAGAATTAGGAGAGAGAACAAGAACCAGAGAAGAAGCAGAGAAATAGAAGAGAGAAAAGAAGAAGTAGAAAAGAAGAAGAACCAGAGAAGAAGCAAAAAAGAAGAAGAATTAGAGAAGAAGAGAAATAGAAGAGAGAAAAAAAAGAGAAGGAGACTAACCAGTAGCAGTAGTTGTCTGATCACCGAGGAAAGAGCAACAAAGCCAACAATTGTGTTTGTCCAAGGAGGAAGGAACAACAAAGCCAACAATCGTGTTTGTCCAACGAGGAAGGAGCAGTGAAGCCAACAATCGTGTGATCATCTGAGCAAAATTAGGGTTTGGGAGCTGTATTTATGGGATAAGGGGATAATTTGGTGTATCAGCATCATATAATTTTTTTTTCAAGTATCTAATTCAACAGTCTATAATAAAAATAAAATAATTTCGCCTCGCATAATTAAGGCGTTCGCTTTCTCGTCTTTCGCTTAAGCGCAAGTGCTCGTTTTTCTCGTTTTTTTCTTACTTCAGTTACATTTGCTTTACCTAGGGTGTTCAAAGCGAGAGACCCTCGCTTCGCTTCTCGCCTAGGCGAGCTTTTCAAAACATTGTATGACAACAATGGAATTGGACAAAAAAAAAGATTATGGCGGTTGAAGTGAGATATTCGAGGAAGAACAAAAATGGAAAAATGACGTGGTTTGCAAAAGGGAAAGTTTGATTCAATCTTGGTGTTAAATTCAGATTGTGTTATCTATAAGGCTATGGGGCTTGCCATGATATTGAATCTGCTCCAGATTGATAAAACAATTTTATTTTTTNAAATAAACACTAATAATATCTCAAATCCTATTATTTAAAAACATAAGACACATAATTTAAGCACTAAAAAAACCATCTCAAGGTGTTGTGTTATTGTTAAAGTATATCAATCACAATTGTTTTTGTAAATCTATTTTTATGTACAGTTGTGGGCTTGTACACATGTACCGAATCACATTTCATAACAGAGTTGTAAACAATTTCATATTGACTGGTGTTCAAGCTTGGATCATTAAAACAAAGAGTGACTATATGACAGAATAGCAGAAGCAGAACAACACTATCAAAACAGGAAAATTAGCGCTATCAAAACAACAGAAGCAAAACCAGCAAAATCAACAAAACAGTAGCAGCAGAAAAAAAAATAGAAGCAAAATCAGAAAAAAACAGAAGTAAAATCAGGAAAAAAACAGAAGTAAAATAAAAAAAATAAAACCAGAATCAGAAAAAAAAACAGAAGCAGAATAAAAAAAAAACAAAAGCAGACAATTAGCAGAAGCAGAAAAAAAAGAACCAAAAGAGAGAAGAACCAGAACCAGAATTAGGAGAGAGAACAAGAACCAGAGAAGAAGCAGAGAAATAGAAGAGAGAAAAGAAGAAGTAGAAAAGAAGAAGAACCAGAGAAGAAGCAAAAAAGAAGAAGAATTAGAGAAGAAGAGAAATAGAAGAGAGAAAAAAAAGAGAAGGAGACTAACCAGTAGCAGTAGTTGTCTGATCACCGAGGAAAGAGCAACAAAGCCAACAATTGTGTTTGTCCAAGGAGGAAGGAACAACAAAGCCAACAATCGTGTTTGTCCAACGAGGAAGGAGCAGTGAAGCCAACAATCGTGTGATCATCTGAGCAAAATTAGGGTTTGGGAGCTGTATTTATGGGATAAGGGGATAATTTGGTGTATCAGCATCATATAATTTTTTTTTCAAGTATCTAATTCAACAGTCTATAATAAAAATAAAATAATTTCGCCTCGCATAATTAAGGCGTTCGCTTTCTCGTCTTTCGCTTAAGCGCAAGTGCTCGTTTTTCTCGTTTTTTTCTTACTTCAGTTACATTTGCTTTACCTAGGGTGTTCAAAGCGAGAGACCCTCGCTTCGCTTCTCGCCTAGGCGAGCTTTTCAAAACATTGTATGACAACAATGGAATTGGACAAAAAAAAAGATTATGGCGGTTGAAGTGAGATATTCGAGGAAGAACAAAAATGGAAAAATGACGTGGTTTGCAAAAGGGAAAGTTTGATTCAATCTTGGTGTTAAATTCAGATTGTGTTATCTATAAGGCTATGGGGCTTGCCATGATATTGAATCTGCTCCAGATTGATAAAACAATTTTATTTTTTAAAAATGGGTAGAAGGTTGAAGAAATCTGTAGGCATGAAAATTGTTTTTTTAAGGTTCATTTATGTTAAAGTTGAAGAAGTGGTGTTACGAATCGAATAAAGAATGCAATAGATTCTCGTTTCTTGGAGGTTGGATTGCAATTGAACGACAGATGAATCGAGGTAAACAATATAAAAATCAAGAAAATATATTAGTTTAGTTAGTGCTAGATGTTTAAGTTCCAGCTTCTCATTTAATTGAGCATTCAATAATTGGATTTAATATTGCCTAGGCCCCCCCTTTAAATCTTTATGGTGATCAAAAGTATAAACATTTAAATCAAACAAACACCAATAATATTTCAAATCCTAACGGCAACCAAAAGTATAAATATTTAAATTGAAAAAAACCAATAATATCCCAAATTCTAATATTTGAAAATAGAAATCCCGCAAGTCAAACACCTAAATATTTTTTCAATGCTTCCACAAATCATGTAGACTAGGGAATCATCCACATCACCAAGAAAAATAAAATATACAAAAGCATTTGCGTGATTGCTTTTCGATTTAGCGTGAACGCTCAAACATCGCTTCAAAAAAACTCGGTTTGCCTCGGACACTTGAGGCAACCTAGGCTTGCCTAGACACGCTTTTAATAACATTGTTTTGGAAGATTTGGGAGTGGTGTGGGGGGCTATAGAAGTAGATTGTTTGACTAAGTAGCACGAGAATTTGTACCAGGAAAAAATTTGAGTCCAGAGTCCAAAAACCAAACTTTAGTTTTCTTCGGACTTCTCTAAATGTATATTATGGTGGAAAAGTGTTTTGAATCAAAATTAAGGTTATTTGCAATCTGGGTAAACTTAGTCGGGAAGAACAGGAGATGATATTTGGGGTTGGTGGTACCAAAAATTGGTACACTGGGCAAGAAACAGAAGATAAAAGAGGGCTTATGGCGGGGTACATGGTAGAAGGGAAGGAAGGGTTGTAGAGAAGAAAACCACTCCCTTGAGTAATGAAAGAATAATGGATATTGTGGAGTTTTTGAAAATCAACCCCTTAAATGCATAATTAATGATGTTAATTACATCAAATCCCAAGACTTTGGGAATGCTAAATTAGATTTAAAATTTGAAAATATGAATAAGTAGGCAAAATATTTAGAGGAGAAAGACAATTGGAGCTATTGAGCAAACTTCTACTGATTAAAAGGTTGGGTTGGTGGGCTTGAAGGAAAAGGAGCCTTTTTCATTAAAAATTCTGGGCTTCTAAATGGTCCAAACATAATGAGCTACGGGAGATATTTCATGATAAAAGAGAGTGGGCCTTCTAAAGTTGGGCTTCTTAACTCCAAAAGCCTGAATGATTTTAGAAGTAAGTCGGGTCTAACACATTATCATATTCAAAGGCTGAGAAGCTTTACGCTAGGGCTATTCCCTCTTTGCATATTGAGGGAGAGTTTGCTAAGGTTTTTGATTGTGCTCGGAGGTCTAAAGAAGCCTCTAGAGGAGATTTACAGAAGACGAAGAGGAAGATGAGGGATATGACTTGGGATATTGTTGAGGATTGTCGAGTTTTGGAGCCAAAGGATTTGAGACGATTTTGATGTCAATAATGAGTATGAAGGTGACTGCCTTCAAGGAGAATTGATATTGGAGATGGAAGGAGAGCTTTGTCATTTTGAATAAGGTCGGAGTGCACTCTAATGGGTTTGGTAACTTTGTGAGCAATTCGGATGTTGGGTCTGCGTTTGGCGATAGTGGTAGGATACTTACTATGGAGCTTGAAGAGACCTTTGGTGATGCTCATAGTTGTTTGTTATTAAGGATTTTGAAGACAATGTCATGAGATATTTACCTAAACCAGAGTAGGTCCTTGAGCCGATCCCAGATTAGCCCCAAGATGTTGGTCTTGAATAGAAAAGTCAATGCTTAAGCTTGAGTGAGAATGGCCTCCTTGCTTTTTGACTTGAACCACTAACTTTTAGAACGATTCTATAGGACAAAAGGAACTTCATTAAGGGTACCTGACAAAAACCAAACAACTTATCTCAACTACTTGACTTGAGGTTGTTTTCTCCTTAATAAAAAAATGAAAGTCTACTTCTTGGATATTTTTGTAAATTGAGAACTCAATAAGAAATTGGAGCTTGGGATTAGGTTCGNGGTACATGGTAGAAGGGAAGGAAGGGTTGTAGAGAAGAAAACCACTCCCTTGAGTAATGAAAGAATAATGGATATTGTGGAGTTTTTGAAAATCAACCCCTTAAATGCATAATTAATGATGTTAATTACATCAAATCCCAAGACTTTGGGAATGCTAAATTAGATTTAAAATTTGAAAATATGAATAAGTAGGCAAAATATTTAGAGGAGAAAGACAATTGGAGCTATTGAGCAAACTTCTACTGATTAAAAGGTTGGGTTGGTGGGCTTGAAGGAAAAGGAGCCTTTTTCATTAAAAATTCTGGGCTTCTAAATGGTCCAAACATAATGAGCTACGGGAGATATTTCATGATAAAAGAGAGTGGGCCTTCTAAAGTTGGGCTTCTTAACTCCAAAAGCCTGAATGATTTTAGAAGTAAGTCGGGTCTAACACATTATCATATTCAAAGGCTGAGAAGCTTTACGCTAGGGCTATTCCCTCTTTGCATATTGAGGGAGAGTTTGCTAAGGTTTTTGATTGTGCTCGGAGGTCTAAAGAAGCCTCTAGAGGAGATTTACAGAAGACGAAGAGGAAGATGAGGGATATGACTTGGGATATTGTTGAGGATTGTCGAGTTTTGGAGCCAAAGGATTTGAGACGATTTTGATGTCAATAATGAGTATGAAGGTGACTGCCTTCAAGGAGAATTGATATTGGAGATGGAAGGAGAGCTTTGTCATTTTGAATAAGGTCGGAGTGCACTCTAATGGGTTTGGTAACTTTGTGAGCAATTCGGATGTTGGGTCTGCGTTTGGCGATAGTGGTAGGATACTTACTATGGAGCTTGAAGAGACCTTTGGTGATGCTCATAGTTGTTTGTTATTAAGGATTTTGAAGACAATGTCATGAGATATTTACCTAAACCAGAGTAGGTCCTTGAGCCGATCCCAGATTAGCCCCAAGATGTTGGTCTTGAATAGAAAAGTCAATGCTTAAGCTTGAGTGAGAATGGCCTCCTTGCTTTTTGACTTGAACCACTAACTTTTAGAACGATTCTATAGGACAAAAGGAACTTCATTAAGGGTACCTGACAAAAACCAAACAACTTATCTCAACTACTTGACTTGAGGTTGTTTTCTCCTTAATAAAAAAATGAAAGTCTACTTCTTGGATATTTTTGTAAATTGAGAACTCAATAAGAAATTGGAGCTTGGGATTATGTTCGCGAAGAAGAAGATCACAAATGAGATCTTGAGCTTCTTGCTTACTCTCTCGAATTAGAGTGAAATCTAGCTATAAAAATGGGGTTCTTGTGGGAAATACCCAACACCATGTTAGTCTTCCTTCTAAGTTGATTCTTAATGAACTTCCATGCACTTTGGGTGGGCAAAGATATGTGGAAAAACCTTAAGTGATGGGTATTTGTGGGGAGGGTGAGTCTTCCATGTGTTTGGGTGGTTCGGCTAGGGGTCCAAATTGTCGAAATATGCCTAACTATGCATGGGGTAGTCCTAGTTCAGTTTGCTGGGGGCTGGTCATTTCTCTAGTGGGACTGGAAATTCTTTATTTGTTCTTGGTAAGGAATTCCACGTGTGTTTCAATTGGCTAAACCAATATTGGTTCCAGTTAGTTGAATTTGTGTCGGGCTAATGGGGATACCATTACTAATTCTGCTCTCGAAAATTTGCTGGCTATGTCTGATGGGACTATTATTTGTTATAGTGGGATGAGAATGGTTTGAATTTGGAGGTGGGTGGTGAGAGTGGGGGGCCATCTGTATGTGAGAAAGGTGTTGTATTTTTGATGATGAAAAGTGGATTATCCTTAATAATTTCTTAAGGAAGATGGATTTGTCACTAGTTTCCACTAAAAAGAAAAGAAAGGTTAGGGGGAAGGGTGAAGTTCGAGAAAGAAAAGAGGGGCTCGAGAGTTAAAAAATTTATATTTTGGGGTAAACTATGGTGGTGTGAGTGCTTGGAAGGTGGATGAGGGAGCTTTAGTTATGAAGATGCTTAGTTGGAATATTTGAGGATTATGATTTAGAAGGAAAAAATGTTCAATAAAAGAATTTCGTTTGATATATGGGCAGGATATTGTTATTTTGTAAGAATCTATGGTGGAGGTTGTTGATAGAAGGGTGATTTAGAGTGTGCCGGGATCTAAGTTTAAAAATTGGGTGTTTCTAATGTCGGTGACATTTTTCGACGGTGGGCAGTTTGGGGGTGTAATCATTTTGTGGGATGAAAGGGTTATGGAAGTTGATGAATATGCGGAAGGCAAATTTACAATCGCTATTCGAGTTAAACATAGGGAAGGGTGATGTAGGTTGGGAAAAAAAAGAATTAGGGGATGAGAAAAGAAGGAGAAATGGATGAGAAATTAGAAGAAGGGGATGAGAAGAGAATGAAATTAGGGGAAGAGAAATACTGTTAATTATTCAATAATCAAGGCCACTTAAAAATAAAAAAATTAACCCCTTTATATAGGGGACTAAAAAAAACTCTAAAATCAAAGATTCTCAATTAAACTCTACTACTAAAAGATAAAAACAGAATAATATCTCAATAAATAAAAATCTAAAATAAATCTTCATCATCTATCCTATTCCAACCCGATCTCCATCAATGGTTAGATTGATGGTTGACTGGTGTATATAGTCCTAATAAACTTAGGATAAGGATGTTGTTATGGGAAAAGTTGATTGGATTGTTTGGTATATGATGTCTCGTTTTGTCTTGTTGGGCATTTTAATGTCATTAGGTTTCCTTAGGAAAAAAGTTGAATGGTGGGAGAATTACTAGAAGTATGAGGGATTTTGATTCTTTTATTAGGGAAATTGAACTTAGAGGTCCCTCTTTGGCTAATGGTGTTTTCACTTGGCCTAATTTTGGGAGTGCTATAGTGTGAAAGATGTTAGATAGGTTTTGTTCTCAGTTGGTTGGAGGATTGTTGCTTGGGAGTCGGGAGGATTTATTTAGAGTTGTGCAGACCATTGCCATATTATTCTTGATAATTCAACTTTGAGATGGGGGTTTATGTCCTTTGTAGGTTTTTGAGAATATGTGGTTTGAATCGGTGGCTTTTTAGGGAGAAGATTAAGGAATGGTGGTTGGAGAGTATGTTTCATGGAGGGGAAGCCTATAAGTTTATGAAAAAGCTTGAGTTCCTCAAACAAAAGATGAAGTTTTGGAATAAAGAGGAGTTTAATGATATCAATGTTGGAGAGGTTAGAAAAGGGGGGAGTTTTGAGGAGGCTTTGAGAAAAGAGAGGTCCTTGTAGGTAGCAATGCAACATCCACACCACATTAACATCTGGTCTACGCGACATGCTATATGCAGTGCACAAACAATACAATGTGGATGCTAGACATCGCCGTCGCATGTATTATTTGCAGATATGGAAGATGTACGCAGTCTTGCTCGTGCATGTGGAGAGGTTGGCCATTGTCAAAAAAAGCCTAATAACGACGATTTAGATATGCGCATTCTTATCCCTCATGCAGAGAGATTGTTTCCGCCACTCAAATCCTTGATGCTTTGTGAGCCTCTCTACTTATTGTCAATTGATATTTAGTTAAATGCTTTGACATGGTACTAGCATTGGGCTTCGGAAGGTTTGGAAAAAACTCTTATCTCTAAAAGAAATTTGGCAATGGTTTCCCATTTTATTCATGCCACACTAGGAATCACGGATACTTTCTGGAGAGGTGCCAGGGCAATGTTGGACGTGTCGTGGCAATGTCGGATGCATCTTTAGTGTCCGACATGGCTAGAAGTGTCCTGAACAGGAAACTCAGCCGGACACATCCAAGACTCGATCAAAAATTTTTTTATTAAAAAAAACTATTGACTATTAAAAAAAATGTGATTTCTATTCTTTTTAATATATCTTTTGTTATGTAACTTATATACTATAAATGTTAATGAACGTAATGATGTTTGGTGGAGTGGATATGTATTTTGATCTATTTCAATTTTAATCAAAAAATAATATTTGGTAGTCTTATTATTAATATTGTTATAATATATGATTTATTTTTAATATATTACAACTCTATTATTATTTTAAAAATATATTACATTATTTTAATAGCCGTATCCTTGATGTATCCGTATCCTATATTTTTTAATTTTGTCATATCCCCATATCTGTATTGCATTGGATCCGACAATCGTGTTCTTATCCATGCTTGTTAGATGCCAAATGTACATTATAATGACTTATCCATTCACAACTCTAAATTTAAGGGTGGATTTTTAAATCAACATATTTGAGCATGGATTAGATAAGATTATCAAGAGAGAAAATTCAAAAAAATATATCAGCTCATTTGATTGATGAAAAGGGCGAAAAAACAAATTTCATACTCACTTAGTCCTAATGAAAAAGGTTTATGAATTCACTTAATCCCATCTTTTCTTGATTTAGCTGTAGTTTCAATAAGCTAATGTGTACCTAACTTCAACAAGTTATTTTTAGCATGATAAGGGCTGACTTATGGACTCGAACTAGTTATGGAATTTGGGGTTGAGGTGATCTAGCTTCTTTGGAATTTATTACTCCACGAGATTGAGTAACACCAAATTTACCAGTTGCTCGAAGAGATTATACATCAGATTTCGCTTATCTAGCCACCTTTTTCGCACTCCACATATTTTGTTCTTCAATATTGCAACATCAAGCGAAAAGCACTTATTCGAGTAATGCCCTAATCTGAGACAAATTAGATGTTTAAGTTTGACTAACGATGATAAAATAATAATGTAGGTTTGTTCTACGATGTGGAATAAAAGAATAAAAATTTGATTCGACATCCAAAAAAGTAATCTGGCGATTTGGCATCCTTAAAAGTAATTCGATATAATTTAAAAATAGTGAAACAAAAATATAAAATAATCAGATTGGATGGAAAGAGGTCCAATTGAAAAACTCCAAATTTAATTAGGTGTCAAGTTGTAAAGCACAAAAATGAACTTTTATACCCGACAAAGAATCTTTTTAGATATGTATCAAATGTACTTTTCACAATATTGGCAAAACTATTATATTTTCAAACCTTCTTTATTTTGGAATATGTTTTATGTACTGCGCTTATTGTGCTCACCCTACTTTGTTTATTTCGTTTCAAAATTGTTAAAAAGCATCTACAAGTGAATTAGATTAAGGAGATTAGACCCAGGGGAGCTTTTGAGTTGAATTGAATAATGTTTTGTATTAGAAACATTGCAGATAGTGGAAAATTGTAATTACTTGATAGTGTATATTGATCTAATTGTTAATTTAGGGTTTGTATACAACTCATCCCTGAGAATTTGGGTTATGAAGACCGAGGTGTGACAACTATGAACTATCAAACTTAAAATAACTCAACCAAGGAATACATCCAAACTGATTGAATTCAAAAACCAAGTAGGATTTTCAATACCTCTTCGGTCTTTTTTTTTCGATAGGAAACATTTTATTGATTGGTAAAATGAAGGTTACATTATCCAATCCGAGATGGACAAGTTGTCCAGCCCTTAAAGCAAGCAAAATTCAGAAAAGAAAAGGAAAAAAAAAAGTAACAAAAGCCATGCAGTCCAACCACAAAGCCACCGTCATGCTACCTTTCACGCGAGGCTACCCAACTTGCATGATACAAAAAAGAGGAGTATGCTCAAATTCCTTTGTCACCAAAGCCCCAAGAAAAAGCTAAAAAGTAGATCCTATGCCATATCCATCCGACGCTTCTTCTTTGTCTTCAAATACTCTTGAATTTTCCTCCAAACAATTGCCAAAATCGCACATTGCCAAAGGATAACACTCCTACCTCCTCCACTCGACCCTTTGAAATCCTCACCAAAAATAGATGATATGGAGTACGGGGCTACCCAACAAAGCCTAGTCATCTTAAACAACTTGTTCCATAAGGATAATGCCCTAGCATAATGTGAAAAACGATGATCCATGCTTGCTCTACACATGACACACCATTGCGAGCAAAGGTTGGTGTATGGCCGCCTTCATTGGACCATATCATAAGTATTGATCTTTGCATGAGCAATTACCCTTCCATATACTTGCACTTTCAAAGGTACTTTAGCCTTCCAAATCTTCAATGACAAGTAAAATAGATGAATAAAAATATTCAAAAAAGGATTTGCATGAGAAGGAACTTGAAGGGTCAATGACCCAACTCTTGGTTCAAAATGACCGAATCAAGCAAGGAAACAAATGACATTAATACCGATGACTCCCTATCATTAAGATTCTTACGAAACACAAAGTCCCAAGCAAAAGGGAAGGAATCCAACTTTACCAAAGAGGTATCTTGCTATGTTTGTAGGATAGACAGAATCCAAATCTATCTTAAGGTCCCGAATTAGTCCAATAGAATTTTGTCTGCTAAACACTATGTTCATCATGGCAAGATAGTCAAAACAAACGAGGAATGAAATTCACAATGGCACCTCCTCAACCCAAATATCTTTCCAAAATCAAACTCCCATCCCATTACCCACAATGAACTTAACCTTTGAGAGAAACAAGATAAAATCTGAGAAATGAATTTCCAAGGACTTCAATAATTTTTTTCTCGCCCTCATTAAGTATCCCACCCATTAGTTTGCAAGGCATTTGCTCTTAATAACCGAATGCCATAATGAATTCTACTCCAAAGGAGTCAAGAACTTCTCCTCATCCCCAGAGGAGAAGAAAATGGTGTTATCGGCAAACAACAAATGTGACACCTATATCCTCTCCCTACCAACCACAACGCCTTCCACAAGATTAAACTCTTCCGCCTCTGACACAAACCTACTCCATCCGTCCACCACAAGAGTAAACAAAAATGGGGATAAAGGATCACCCGGCATAAATCCCTCGGAGCCTTAACCTTTCCCCTAGGCATACATTCAAAATATTTGAGAAATTCATAGACTGCAAACACACTTTAATCCACATCCTCCATCATGATAGCAATCATTTAGACTCTATAATAAAATCCAAGGAACTCCAATCAACATGATCATATATTTTTTCAAAGTCAATCTTAAACACAATACCCTCCATACCTCTAGCCTTGTAATCTTCCACCAACTCATTAGCCACGGGGGCTAAATCCAAAATTTGTCTCCCAATTAACAAAGGCTCCTTGAAACTCATAAATGGTTTCGATCAACACTCTCTAAACCTTAAGGACAACACAGTTATCTTATACAAGCATGCCACTAAGCTAGTTGGCCTAAAATTCTTAATCTTTAACGAATTCTCTTTTTTTTTTGGGATTAAACATATGAATGTAGCATTTGTAATCGTATTAACAACCCTTTTATGAAAAAACTCATCAAACACTTTCATCAAATCATCTTTTAACCACTTGCCAGTATTCTTGAAATAAAGTCATAGTAAAGCCAATCAGCCCAAGAGCTTTCTCTTTACAACACTCCCACATTACTACCCTAATTTCATCCACCTCAAAACATTTTTCCATCCAAATCACTTTCCCTTAATCAATGGGGCACTAATCAAGACCCTCTAACCTAGGACTTGAACATTCTTGATCCAAGAATAAGCTAGAAAACAATCGAATGCTATCCCTTTCAATATGTCCCTCCTCTTCAACGATTACTCCATCAATTTCCACTTTATAAATGATTTTCTTCTTCCCATTGCCATTAACCACTCTATGGAAAAATTTGGAATTATTGTCCCCTTCCTTTATCCATTTGATTCTTGATGTTTGACTCCAAAAAATCTCTTCATTGAAAACCACCTCTTCAAACCTACTTCCAAGATGCAACAAGGCCCACATGGTAGTACTGGCACATGGAAACTTGTGCTCCCGCTCCACCTTGACATGCCACAAGGACATTTGTTGTGCCATATCTATTGTATGCTTTCCATAGCCACAAACCTTGCACATGTCAACCCACAATTCCATTCTGCAAATGCTACCTGTACACACTCCTTTCGAATATCTTCTTAAAAGGAGGTTGGGGTTAGCGGATGTCTAGCAGTTTTTGTAGCCTTGAGCCTTAGCCTTAGGTAATCGCAAACTGCTTTGCTGGTGTCTGTCAGAAAGGTCTTTTTCATGTGGAAGCTATAGGGACACCTCTTTTTTGCGGGTTTCAGGTTGAGTGCTTGGGTAAGCACGAGGATGGTACAGTATGTGCACTCAGGTGTCACATGCCCCCCACTATAGTAGTAGCAGTTGAAAAATTTGACTGACAACTTGACATCGTCCTACTTTGAGCAACTGTAGACCTTTTCTCAGTAACTGAAACATGGAATTGCATGCCTTCTAATTCTATGTACTTGTAATTATCCACACTAAAATCTGCGACAATCACAAATGGTTTACAATTGCTCATTGTAGAAATTGTTGTCCTCTGTTGTTAACAAAATAGCAAACACAACCTTAGTTTCATTGCATCTATTCTTAGGCAAGACAGTTTGTTTTTTAGCACCACCATACTTACAAAGTTTCAAAGAAACAGCGTTGCCTTCATGGATGAATTCGAGTCATGATGCATCGGCACCGAATAAGGACCGTGATAATTCTCCCCCAATCAACCCTGCTCAATTTGTAAATGTGATACAGCATCTATTGATTGGTTGGGTACATATCGTAGGCTTTGTGATTTGTTTTAGTAAATGTGTTAACAATTAGAATATTTTTTTCATTTTGATTAGTTTTTGGTGAAAGGGTAATTTGGTCATTTTGAATGGTGTGTTTGGTGTTTAGACTAATGACTAGAGTTGACATGTTGCAGGTTAAAGTAGATGAAGAAGAAACGTCAAATTTTCGAGATCGCCTTCTCCCACTTATTATTGGATTGCTTAGAACTGTGAGTAATTGTATGCAGTTCTATGTGTGAAAATGGCCATTTCCTTTGTTGCTGCAATTTGTGACAGCTTATGATTTATACGGCTACACTGGTTGTGCTAATTAGGTCATTGATCATTATTATATGCTATTTCTTTTTTCCTTTTGGATAAGGATTTATTACACATTAAGGAGGGAAAGGAGTTCAAAGATAGTGGGTGAGAAACCTTTCTATGCCTACAGGAAGCACTCGGGAAATTTCACTAGCCCTGTTGTAATTTTAGCAGCTTTTGTTCTGAATTTGAGCCATCAACGTAAACAGTACTGTATTGTCATTAGTTTCTAAGGTTGGTTATTGTGACATATGTGCTCTAGCTTAATGAGCTTGAATGATGCGAGAATGTTTCAGAGGTCATGGGTTCAACATTATGTTATTTTTTTGCTCTTTATAAGTTGGGTTTAGTGTTGCAGTTGAACTGTAATCTCACTATTGGCAACAAGATTCTGCAAATAATCTGATTAGGTTGACTCCTTTGAGTGATTTATCTGAAGCAGCTGTTAATGTTTTGGAAGTTGGGGTTAGATTGGATTTAACTAAAGAGTTGTCTCATGGTATAATGGTCTTTTTCAGGCAAAACTCCCTAATGTGTTGAGATTATACCGCGATACACTTACTGCAGATATGAAAAGTGCTATTAAGACTGCAGTTGCGGAGTTGCTTCCAGTTCTCGTTGCGCGATCTCAGGAATCAGATTACACTCCAGCTGAACGAATGGTGGATACAGATGGTGGGTTTGATAACATAATCACATTGTAATCTGTGTGTGTGTGTGTATTGACATATATACTGCTGCTGCAAATGTTATACCAGTACTGGTTTGTTCTCCTTCACTGAGCTCTTTGCCAAATTTCTTGACAGTTGGAATAATTTTTTGCTGTTTTATGTTCTATTTCTGATGACCGATACAGGTGGAGGCTCGCTTGCAAGTAAGTTGAGAAGTTTATCATCTGAAAGCTTTGTTCAACTTTTGGGAGCTATTTTCAAGATTGTACGGGTAATGTATACTAGAATGTTCCTTTTGCACCCCTAATTTTGTTTATGAATGGGTGTATGGGTTTCAATAATAACAGCAAACCCGGTTCAAAAGAGTTTTGAAATTATGTGGTGGGTATGATTATGAGTTCTTGCGTGAGTTTCTAGTAACAATTAAATTGATGGGAGGTTACGGGTGATTATGGGCCACTTAATGAGTTGGTTGGGTTTGAAGTGAATGATCCCTCAACTAGTAGTAAGTCTGGGTAATTGATGCTTAAGTTCTATTATCTAATGTGAAATCCAGGCATATAGTCTTCTGTGTGAAGGTCTACATTGTGAATCAAAAAATGTACGCTTAGATTCTGACCATGAAAAATTGAGGGATAATTAGTTGAGCCTAGCAAGTGATTAGACTACACGCTCAAATGAATGATGCTAGGAAGGCCTTAAAAGTCTTATAGGGCCTGAGATTCTGAACATTAGAACTTTTACATTTTAATATAGTGGCTATACCTAGTTGACAAGTCACTGTCACGAAGGCTATTTTCACCCAGTTTTGGGTGTGGGGAAAAGAAAAAACTAGGAAAGAAAATAATGGGCGTTATGGTTACGAAGCTTCAAGTAAAGCCAAGGTAACGGCCGAACCAAAGAAAATTTTTCCCCCAGTTGCGATTCACATCTGCATGCCAAAGGTCAGTTTTCCTATTTTCATTAAGGGATGTTCATGTAGATTTATTGTAGCTTGAGGGCCTTTGATGGAGGGAATTAGGAGCATGCTTCCCAGGTTTCTGGACTCTGGATATATTCAGATTTTTTCAAATGAGCTTGTAGAGGCCCGGAAATCCTTGTTTGCCATGTACACTACATGAATGGTACCTTGCTTTTCAAATTTTTTTTTTGCCTGTGGGATGGAAGAAAGAGCAATCAGAAACTTAGAATGTGTATTGCTCTCTTTTAAATTAACAAGAACATTGAGGTTGTACAACCAAAACATGATTTAGAAATTGGAAATTATTCAAGATTAAAAAGTGACCAGAGTAATAGTGTCAACCATGTGGCGATTATTCGTGGCACAAATTTTAAGTCAAGACCAAGGATCAAAATTTCGTTTCGAAGTACCATTTCGGTCAACTCAAAAATGGGAACGCAGAAAAAATATGGAAACGCATAGAAACACAAATACAATCCATTAATTTATAAAGATAAGCTAAATAATTGATTAATTCAACATATTTATTGGGTTAACATCCATTTATACAAGAATAAATTTAAATTTGAGGGAAAACAAAGTTTGACATGAGGCGAAAATCACTTAAATTAATTTCAAACATTTAATTTTTATGAAATAAACACATTTTTACATAATATTAAGGTTTTATAATACACATTAAATGCTAATGAGTACATATTTATATGACTACATCCATCTCCTTGTGGAGTGTCGAGCAGGCTCATACATCAGTGTAGGCTCTGGGTAGCTACTTAGAGAAACTCCATATGTGACATAAATATGATGACAATAGTTACTCCAACTCATATTATTACGGTAATATTATCCAATTAATAATACTATTTTATTATACTACTAATAATGAAGGGTATCAAATTTAATTAATAGTACTTATGTATACTTAAAAATTAAATGTAATTGCAGTGGATATTAAATATAATTACAGTGGATATTAAATATAATTACATTAGGGTATTAAATGTAATTGTTAATACTTATAACAAAAAAAAAAAAAGCAAAAGAATTGCACACCAGTGGGGTATTAAATATAATTACAATAGGTATTAAATATAATTACAATGGGTATTAAATATAATTACAGTAAGGTATTAAGTGTAATTATTTATTCTTATAATAAAAAAATTATAAAAGGTAGTAATGTAATTATAGTGGGGTATTAAATATAACTATAGTGAGTATTAAATGTAATTACAGTGGGTATTAAATATAATTATAGTGGGTATTAAATGTAATTATTCATAGTGAACCGAATATATCACTGTTTCGATCGAAACGGTCCGAAATAGTGCCGTTTCGACCGAAACGGTCCGAAACAGTACCGTTTCGACCGAAACACTAAAATTTTGTAATTTAACTACTGTTTCGTTTCGGAGTGTTGAAATTCCGAAATGTTTCAGAGTGTTGAAATTCCGAAACGTTTCGGACGTGTCGATACGACATTTTGATCCTTGGTTAAAACTACATTACGACTTCACCCAAAAAGTCCTAAACATCTACAACTGGTATTAAACCGCACAATGTGTTATTCACTCTCCACAGCCAATGCCTTCGCGTGATCAATGCTAGGATTGCATACCACATGACGTAATATTCACGGAAGTGTTGGACTTGTTTCCTAGTCCTAGGCCCCAAAAGTTAATAATTTGCTGTAGAGTGTATCACGGAAAGTGTGAAGCAATGGGTGCTTCCTCATCCATTCATATATTTTTTGTACTTGCCACCCTATCTAAAGGTTCTTATTTGATGTAAAGAGTATTATTATCAAGGCTATGGATGCGTTACAATATTTTGTGATGCTTGCAACAACATATGGAAAGTAGAAATCACATATTTAAGTTTTCTTCTAAGAACATGTTCAACAACACAAACTAGTTGGAGTTAGGTGCATCAATCCTCCTACATTTGCATAATTTCTTTTTCATCAACAACAAGAATAAGTTATATAAATAATTAAAGAATTTGTATATGAAGGATGAGTAGAAAAAAAAGAGAGAAACCAAAAATAGATTATATCTCACAAACAGCTCTCCAATCTGTCTTGATAAGAAGTAAAAGAACTCCATCGAACTCGGGAAAAATTGTGACCCATGAGAAGCCAGTAATCAATGGAACTCTTTTCACAACTCAATCTCTTCCTCGATCTAATCTCCAAGAATTCTTAGAAAAATCCAAGAAAGAGCCAACACCACATTTGTCCAAAGACACAGAGCTTTCCTATTCTTCCCAAAGCCCCAAAAATCCATAATAAACATAAAGTCGCATGAGTGGTGAAACCAAGGATAGAAATGTCGTGTCGATTCGTCTGAAACGTCCGAACGTTTCGGATTTTTAACACACCGAAACGAAACATGGCTTGAATCCCAAAATTTCAAAGTTTCGATTGAAACATCATTGTGTTGGACAGTTTCGACGAAACATTCGATAGCACTCCAAGCCAAAGTCCTCCAAGCCCAAAAAAGGGAAAAAACAGAGACCACATGTACATAGGTCCAGGTCTTCCAAGCCCAAAAAAAAAAAGCATAGAGAAGAGAGAAAGAAATGCACATCCATGAAATCGAAGAGAGAGAGGAAAAGACACATATACAAACTATATAATAGAAATTGAAGGAGAAGAGTTAGTAACTTACCTCTTTTAAGTCCAGATTTGAGCAGATCTAACCCCCATCCACGTAGATCTAGGGCTTGGGACTTAGATCTTCATCTCTGTGAGCTACGAGCCACGAGCTACCTGGTATTTTCTTTCTCTCTCTCTCCGGCACCGGCATTGCCCATCGCCCATCGCCATTGTCATTCTCTCTTCTCTCTGTCGTTGTCTGTGTTCGTGGGTGAGAGAGAGACACGATTGACTCTTCTTCTGACTTTCGTATTTTTTTTTTGTGATAACTATAAAAAATTACATTTAATACCTCATTGCATTATAACTTTTAATTTTTAAGTATACATAAGTACCATTAATTTCATTTAATACCCTTCATTATTATTTTTTTCTTTTTTTTAATTATTCTTTTATGTTATTATTATTTATTAAATTGGTATATTAAATAACTGCAAGTCATTTTATTAATTATACCTTATTTGTTAAATATCTAGAATTAAGTATTTATCTATGTACAAATTGTGTATACAATAATTTTAATATTAATGAAAAAATATTATTTATTAATTTGAAGATGCAATTTAAATTAATAAATTAGTATTATAATAACATGCCGCACGAAGTGTTAATATTATTAATTACTAAATTAGTGTTATAATAAAATGGTATTATTAATTAGATAATATTTTAATTTAAAAGTGTTACACATGTCATATTTAAGTGATTTTCAGCTCATGTCAATCCTTTTTTTTTTCTCCAATTTAAATTTATTCTTGTATAAATAGATGTTAACCCAATAAATATGTTGAATTAATCAATTATTAAACTTATATTTATAAATAAATGGATTGTATTTGTGTTTCTATGTGTTTTTATATTTTTGTCTACGTTTTCATTGTGTTTCCTAAACGTTTCTATTTTTGAACTGCCCGAAATGGTACTTCGAAATGATAAAGCAATTTCTCCATTGTATTTCAATCCGTGGGTGAAACCCAACACAAATCCATCAATGAAAATAATTTCTCCAAAGCGATAAAGCAACCAATAAACAAATATGCACTATACATATTCAATTAGAAATAAAATATGTGCATACTTTATGGATACTTTTATATGCAGAGCAATACGTATAATTTTTAATTTGAACTTTACCCCCACTTTAAAATTCACATACAATGCAATGCATCAACAAAGATCCATATGACTCTGAAGATAATATTTAAAGATCAATAATTTTTAAGTATTGTTTAGTGTTTACTATCACAAGTCAAAAGAGTATAAATGAGTTAATTACATTATAATTTTTGCACCAAATACTTTTAAGCCAGCTAATTAAATGTTGGTTCATATTCCTTTAATTAATCATGTTTGCTTTGTAGATATATCATAGTGAGACCATACATATTTTTTTGGAAGGAAAAATTGCTATTTTTTTGTTAATCATTGTTAAAAAATTACCCAAAATTAAAACTAAAGTCGTTATATAATTGTACAAATATAAACTATCGGGCCGTATTCATATCCTATTTTTTTGAATTTTGTCGGATCGTTGTATCCGTATGACATGGATTAAAATTTCGTTTCGACGTATTGTTTTGCTAACCCATTCATGATAACGTTTCAAAAACAAAACAAAAACTAATAAAAAAATTAAAAATTTATTTTTTAAACATTCCAAAACATTGATCGAAATATATTGAAATATTTTGAAACACTGTAAAACATTCTAAAACAATAGTGGAACATTTTGAAATATCTTAAAACATTCTGAAACACCTTAAAACACTAGAATTTAGATTTCATGTCTGATCCATGTTGTAGTCATTGGAAATGGAAATGTTTTGGCTATTTTGAAACAAAATTTTGATCCTTATTAGTATCGTATCATGGACATATCTTGTATCGGTTTACATGCTTTCTAGGTTTCTAATGAGCAATAGTCCAAGAAAAAATCCGCACATTATGAGGTATCTTGGCTTTCCAACAATAACTGTCATCAATGGTAGTATCACAGTAGAATTTACAAGAAAATACCTCAAAAGAGAATAATTGACTACATCCTTCTATCAGGAATTGACTGTCTTTAATAAACGCATCCAATAAATAAGCAAGAGAGGAAAACTCAACGACCTCTCTATCATTGAGATCTCTAATGAAATGAATGTTCCAATTGATAGGATAAGACGATGGACACATCATAAAAGCAATTGTGACACGTGAGAACTCGACAACCAATACAATAGAGGAATAGAATTGAAAAGAAGACTCTCACTCCTTTGATTATCTTTCCTTTGATTTGGGTGCCCCAATCACAACGAGGGTTGCTCATCCTGCCGTGGTCCCTCCTTCGTTTGGGGAGATTTGAATTTCTTCCTTATGGCCAACAACAAATCTCCTATACCGAGTGAGACGAAACAAACCCTGAGAAATATGTCTACGGCCATAGTTTGGTTTTATAGCTACTGTCCATTAATTCTGTAATAGAATGGTGGGGTCTGTCTAATTAAAGACTTCATTTGCATGCATATCTTTTTATTATAATCAGTAAGTTGTTATGATGTAACTTCATTCCTTTCTTTTAGTGAATGCAGGCACACTTAGTGCGAGCTGCCGAAGTCAAAAAAGCAATTGAGTGGATTATGTGCAATCTTGAAGGTCACTATGCTGCTGATTCAGTTGCTGCTGCAATTGCACTTGGTGCAGCAGCTGCAGAAACAACTCAAGATACTGAGGGTCAAGATGGTTCCTTTCTGCTATATTCTCCTCAGAGAAATGCTAGCAAGGCCCCTTTAATCCAGGGAAAGGGAATTGATGCAACAAGTCCATCGAATATGTCAAGAAATTTCCGGTTATCTCTTGTTCATTCATGGTGTTAAATAGTTGTTATTTATAATTTGTTTTTCTGGGTTAATAGCTCAGGTATGTTTTTTTCAAGGACTTTTTTTTTCTTTTTTGCTTTTTTGGTTTTTTGTAGTACTTTTTTAAAGCAGAATTTTTTTTCAACTTTCCATTTTTTTGTTTCCTTTCCGCCTCGTACCTTATTGACATGTATAATAATGTATTCATGCATATAAGGGTATCATTTATATACTACGATGCATCTAGATCACGTTTGCAATTGTAACTAAATGTGCTTTTACTTTTTTTTAATGCAATTTTTTTTGGGTTAAAAAAATTACTAAAAAGCATTACCATACAGTTCATTAGTTACTATGTTTTAGAAAGTATCATTTGTTGTGACTTGAGAGTCAAATTTGATTTAATGTTCGACATATTGACCTATGAAGCACAGATACTTCAAAAGGGTTGATATCGGATACGAATACGCGTTCGATACGACGGGATACGTATCCAATACCGTTGGAAAATATCCTAGAATTAAAAAAATAAATTTGAATTTCGAATACTTTAGGATACATTAATGATACGACAGGGATACGTCGGGAATATGACGGGGTAGTAGTTAAATTTTTTAAAAAGAATAGGGGCACCAAAGCAAATATGTTTAGGCCCTTATTTGCAAAAAAAAAAATTATGAAGTATGATTTCTAAATTATAGAACGGTTAGTCATTATTATATATCTTTGATAGATTTGTGATTAACTTTTTAAATCATAATTAATATATTAAATTTAATAATAAAATTTAAAAAAAATATATTTTATGGACGTATCTTAGTCGTACCCCTATCCTATTTTTTTAGATTTTGTCGTATCGCCGTATCCGTATCATATCGTATCAATATCTCATATCCGTATCCGTGCTTCATAGATATTAACATACCTTTTGCTTTGAGGCATGAGATAAAATTTTACTATGGTATTTCTGTTGTTTCACAAAACCTTTGGCTTTCATTGAAAATGGTGAACATTTTGGTGAAACATTGTAGTAATTTGAAGTTGCAACCATCTTGAAGTTTTCTATGAGAATTTTTTAAGATAAGTCATACAGACAAATATCACAATGCATTATGTGCCATATTTTCTGCCAAATTAACAACTCCCTAAAGTGAACGAGTGTTTAAATTATACAAAAATTTTCCACATGCCAAGGATTGTTATTGAAATATAAATACTTAAGTTACACTCTCTCCAATAGATGAAGCTTTTGGAGTAGATGGTTGTTTAACACAGCACCAGAGTAAGGTCCTATGTTCGAATCTTGCCGTCACCTTAATTATTAAAAGGATTTCAACGTGCTAGGCCCAAAATTTGGCATGCACTTGAGGGGTGTGAGGGGGCATGTTGAACTATAAGTACTTAAGCTACACCATCTCCAACATCTTAAGCTTTTGGAGCAGATGGTTGGTTAACAAATGTGTTTAGGTAAAACTCTTTCTTAGAGTTGTGCCTATAGATGATATTAGTACATGGATATAGTAATGTCCACAACTCAAAAGCTAGCAGAAGCAATAATTGTGAATGCATATATGTCAATATCCTCTCATGTACTCTTACTCTTTTTATTCACTTCAAAAATATTTTTTCATTTTCTATCTAAAAACAATACATGTCAATATCCTAGCGGAAGCATAATGATAATATTTTTAGGAAAGTTAAAGATATGTTTTCACTCTGGTTATTTCTGTCACACGAAAGAAGTGAAGCTAAATGTTTTGTATTGTTGTGATTTCTTTTCTCTTGAATAACAGATGGCTCATTTTTGGAAGATTTTGAAATTTTATGTTATTTGGATTTCATTTTTCTTGAACAATAGCTGGTAGTAGACACATGGACAATTTTTGGCATGCCATTTCCCTTAAATGGTTTCTGTTAGCCTAGCTTTTGAATGTTTGAAATAGCTTGCACTTTTATTTTACCCTGCCTTTGTATTCTTTTGAGAAAGTATGGTTTTCAAAACATGGAGCAAAATGCATCATAAATTTACCATCAAGTGGTGAACTCTTGTCAGGGGTTCACTTTATGGTCTTATTTTCAAGATTTGTTTAATGAGTGTTTTGAAGTTCTTACAAACAATTGGCAATGTTTTCTTTGATAGAGCCGATGTCTTAAGAGAAAATGCAGAAGCTGTGTTTGCAGCTTGTGATGCTGCTCATGGAAGGTGGGCAAAACTGCTTGGTGTCCGTGCTCTTCTTCATCCGAGATTGAAATTGCAGGAGTTTCTAAGCATATATAGTATCACTCAGGATTTCATAACTGCAACAGAGAAGGTAGCTTTTATGTACTTATTCTTTTGATATTTTTCTGTAGATTTGTTTATACAAAGTTTCCAACTAGTTGTGGTAATGTTTCCATAATATGTTAATTTAACAGATTGGTGGAAGGTTGGGATATAGCATTAGGGGAACACTGCAGTCACAGGCCAAAGCTTTTGTTGATCATCAGCATGAAACTCGAGTTAGTTTCTGTGTTCCATTGGTTTTTACATGGCTGCTGCATGTGGTTTGGGACTAATTGTTTTGCTGGTTATTATAGATGGCAAAAATAAAGGCTGTACTTGATCAAGAAACTTGGGTTGAAGTAGATGTGCCCGATGAATTTCAGGCCATTATCACTTCACTGTTTTGTTCAGAGCCTCCAGTTACCACAGACAGAGAAGCTTCAGGTCATAATGCAGCAGGCAACACTGAAGTGGTCTCAAGCAACAATGGTTCACCCGTAGCAGACACTGGACTGCCAATTTCACAGCATCATATAGAGAGCACTGAGGCTATTGAAGCATCTCCAGATGGTGCTGCACTGGCAAAATCTTCAGCATTGAGTGGGCCAACTGATAACAATAAAGCTGATGTTACAACTTCTATGGCTCAGAGTAACAGCACGAACACGAAAGATCGTGGAAAGTCTTCCTCTCAAACAATTTCTTTCAGCGGTGTTGGTTATCACATGGTAAACTGGTTAGTCATCTTGTTTACATTTTTTCTTGTTTCATTACTGTTATATGTTCATCCTTGCTGCATCACCTCAACGTTGTCCTCTTTGTCATCATCACTCTCCTCTCCCTCTTCCCTTTGGATGCTGGAATTCCCGTAGATACTTCCACTTCTGATTAATCATTAGGTGTTTACTTTTCTGAGTAATACACTACCATTTTTTGCACGGGTCATTATATTTTGATTCTGACAATGCAATCATCTGTATTTTATTTACTGCTTTGTCTTTTGGAAGGTTTCATCTCATTTATTGGGTGCCAATTTTGAGGCTGTTTGTTACTTTTCAGTGGCTTAATCTTGCTGAAGATGTTGTCAGAGTATGTTGATATGAACAACTTTTTACCAGTGCTGTCTTCGGAAGTTGTTCACCGTGTTGTCGAAATCTTGAAATTTTTCAATACGAGGACTTGTCAGCTTGTTCTTGGTGCTGGTGCCATGCAGGTAGTTATGTTCAACTAATAACTGATAAATTCTATTGTTAAGTTGGATAGTGAAGTACTGGAAACTAGATATTGTAGGCAACTTGTCTAGTGTTATATCAGCAATTCTTATTTGTGCTTGTATTCATTTTAGGTTAGCATTTTTTGTCTACAATGTATGGCACTTAGTTTCAATATGTGCTATTTTTTGGGTTCAGCTCTGGGAACCTAATGCTTATGTTTTTTGTGCATGATCTCTCTCTCTCTCTCTCTCTACCTCTTCCTCTCCCTCTCCCTCTCCCTCTCTTGCTCAATAATGGGGATTTCATTGGAAAGAAAGGAGTAGACTGCAGAAGCACGAAGATCCTTTCTCAAAGATAAAAAGACAACTAAGAAAAACCGAAAAAGAAGGAAATAGTATGGTAAAGCAGGTCCCAGCAACCAAATTTGCTGGGTCGCTCACTTGTATGGTAACAGTCAGCTGTAAATGACTAGTAAGAGTCTGTCCCGTTCTTGGTCAAACATATTTTGATCTATCAATGCTCTTGGTCAGATTGTGAGTTTTACATGGTTTCATACAGAAATCAATGTAATAAACACCTGAAGGTATATATAAAACCTTCCTCAGAAAATTGGCCTTGGGGCAATGATTACGGGTTTTATTTTTTCTCCCATTATACACTACAATTAGCGAACTTCAGCAAAGAGCCTTGAAAGCCTCTAGTGGTCCCCTGATAAAGCATTTCCAAATAGCTGAAATATCTTCTTTCTAGCATAACTTGTCGTTTGGAGACCAAAAGAGACGTCTTTCTTTCAAAGTCTGCAAATATAACTTAATGATGGCTAACCCATATAGTAAGAACAACCATCAAAGATAAATTCAGTTCATCTTTTAGGTGGAGTTTTTCTGTTGTAAGCAAGGTTCAATCTATTACGTCAAAGGATTTCACTACCGTTAGGTTGAAAGAATTTCTCTCTCATTCTCGTATTTAAACAACATTGTGCAAATTCTTCGTAGCGGAATCCAAAGAAAAGTCAAGAAACAAGAATTTTGTAGTTTCCATAAAAGTTGAAAGCTGAATAATTGAGTATTAGGGTTGGAAAAGAAAGAGAAGAAGAAGAAATGTAGAAAGAGATTACGAAATAATATTTATGTAGGGTGTATATTGCTTATACTCCATGGTTTTGTAATACTATCATTGAGTTAATCGCTGGACTTTACAAACGGGGTTGCAAATACCCACTTAATAAATTAGTATAATAAAACCAAGCTCTTGGTGACTCTTTCAGACCATATAGAGACTTAACACGTATTACCATGATACTCCTCTGAGCAACAAACCCAAGTGTTTGCTCTGCTCTGAGTTGGCGACCAACCAACACCAGTGGCAGACAAGAGTGGGGAGATGAACAGTAGCAAAAGAACTAAACCTCAAGCACATCACCAATGACGACCAATCATACAAACAACTAGGGATTGCAACTCCAAAAATATGATGCAATGGCGAAAAGGGAGTGGCTAGGACAGTGACAAGCAACAACAATAATGAGAACTGCAGTCATCCTTAATAACGGTTGCAACGATTGCAACCCATACCCATTTTTACTCTGAATACTGTTTATCTCTACGCAAAAAGGTTAGCTCATTTTGTTTGATGATAACATTGATGAAGATATCCCTATGGTTTTTTANTCTCTCTCTCTCTCTCTCTACCTCTTCCTCTCCCTCTCCCTCTCCCTCTCTTGCTCAATAATGGGGATTTCATTGGAAAGAAAGGAGTAGACTGCAGAAGCACGAAGATCCTTTCTCAAAGATAAAAAGACAACTAAGAAAAACCGAAAAAGAAGGAAATAGTATGGTAAAGCAGGTCCCAGCAACCAAATTTGCTGGGTCGCTCACTTGTATGGTAACAGTCAGCTGTAAATGACTAGTAAGAGTCTGTCCCGTTCTTGGTCAAACATATTTTGATCTATCAATGCTCTTGGTCAGATTGTGAGTTTTACATGGTTTCATACAGAAATCAATGTAATAAACACCTGAAGGTATATATAAAACCTTCCTCAGAAAATTGGCCTTGGGGCAATGATTACGGGTTTTATTTTTTCTCCCATTATACACTACAATTAGCGAACTTCAGCAAAGAGCCTTGAAAGCCTCTAGTGGTCCCCTGATAAAGCATTTCCAAATAGCTGAAATATCTTCTTTCTAGCATAACTTGTCGTTTGGAGACCAAAAGAGACGTCTTTCTTTCAAAGTCTGCAAATATAACTTAATGATGGCTAACCCATATAGTAAGAACAACCATCAAAGATAAATTCAGTTCATCTTTTAGGTGGAGTTTTTCTGTTGTAAGCAAGGTTCAATCTATTACGTCAAAGGATTTCACTACCGTTAGGTTGAAAGAATTTCTCTCTCATTCTCGTATTTAAACAACATTGTGCAAATTCTTCGTAGCGGAATCCAAAGAAAAGTCAAGAAACAAGAATTTTGTAGTTTCCATAAAAGTTGAAAGCTGAATAATTGAGTATTAGGGTTGGAAAAGAAAGAGAAGAAGAAGAAATGTAGAAAGAGATTACGAAATAATATTTATGTAGGGTGTATATTGCTTATACTCCATGGTTTTGTAATACTATCATTGAGTTAATCGCTGGACTTTACAAACGGGGTTGCAAATACCCACTTAATAAATTAGTATAATAAAACCAAGCTCTTGGTGACTCTTTCAGACCATATAGAGACTTAACACGTATTACCATGATACTCCTCTGAGCAACAAACCCAAGTGTTTGCTCTGCTCTGAGTTGGCGACCAACCAACACCAGTGGCAGACAAGAGTGGGGAGATGAACAGTAGCAAAAGAACTAAACCTCAAGCACATCACCAATGACGACCAATCATACAAACAACTAGGGATTGCAACTCCAAAAATATGATGCAATGGCGAAAAGGGAGTGGCTAGGACAGTGACAAGCAACAACAATAATGAGAACTGCAGTCATCCTTAATAACGGTTGCAACGATTGCAACCCATACCCATTTTTACTCTGAATACTGTTTATCTCTACGCAAAAAGGTTAGCTCATTTTGTTTGATGATAACATTGATGAAGATATCCCTATGGTTTTTTAGAGAAGTAATTAATTATCATATCAAAACAAATAATAGAAGACAATGATTACGGATGATGTCACTGGGTGGAGAACATGGTTGCAACAAAAGACACACAAAAACACCAATGAAAACAATACAGGCATAAATGAACACAACCAAGTCACAAGAAGCAACAAACTCAGTTGCAAAAAAAAGGTTGAATCGGTGCTGAAAACCACAATCAGTTCTGAACTAGGCTAAAAATTCCAAAATTGGCACTGAACCAGGTTGAGAATGACTGAACCCACATTGAATTGGTCTAGAACTAGCACTACATGGCTTGAAAATCACTAAACCGACATTAAATTAGGTTGGAAACACTAAACCTGGTTTAAAATTACTAAACCAGCACTAACTGTCACTGGCCCAAAAACTACGAAAAAGATACTAAACTGGGGTGATAACACTGAATCAACAATGAACTGGAAGGAAAAGCACAAAAACGCACAAAATTGGGCTGGAAACTGCAGAACCAGAACCAAACCAGATTGAAAGCACTGAATTGGAAATTATGAATTATGTTTAGATTATGGAAAATTATTATAAAAGTTCATATGGCCATGCCAATGTGTCATAATGGGATGCAATGTTTGTGTCTATGTCCATTGGCTATGGGGGATTCAGAAATGTTGGTTTTGAAGACTGCCCTCAGAATCTTGTATGTTTTAAGATCATATGATTGACTAATAGATTTGGTCATTTCAAACATGGGATGTCACTGTCAAATTTTAAAGATCTAAATTATTAGTTTTGTTAAGCGGGATAAAATAGATGGATGCTATTAGAGAGTATAATGTGATATAATTTAACCTAACTCACAAGCTTCCTTTGGATTAGGTAAGCTTAAATATTAGCTATCCAATTACAGTATAGACTGCCTTCTTTTATATAAATCAGGTTGTCATAAACTAGCATTGAGCTTGGTACAGATGGTCAGACAAGTTTCATATTACCCAATACGGACCTAGGTTCAATAGCTTTTCCTCTGAGGATTCCCTTCTACTATCTGGTTTATTAGTCGCATCAATCACAACGTCGAGGAACCTTGTCAGCTGATACACTACCATTTTTTCTTTTGGTTAAATGATACTCAAGAAATGTTAGATAATGAGGAAGTTAAACATGACTAGAGATTGAAATCATGTCGCGGTGTCACCGAATAGTACTGGTCGATTCGACGTCGATGGCTTGGACGACTTGGGGTTGACCCGGAGACTGCCTTGGACGACTAGGCCGAGTCGCGTGAGACTCGTTACTTACACAGAACATGAATAGGATTAGAGTGGAAGGTAATGAGTGGCCAAGTCTTATTAGTATTGGCCAATACTTTCAACCATGGTTTCATTCAACATGCATATCATATTTAGTTAATATGGATACTAGTCATCGACACTTGAGAGTTTCGACATTGACCCTTTGTATACGTCATATATTTGCTGACCGAAGCTTGGCAAGCCATCTGGTTAAAGATAATGGAGTTTTTGGCTTAATGGTGTACTCATCTTTGCATTTCGACAGTTTAGGGCTTTCAAGTGCGAGTAACATCAGGTTGCACACTATTTTTTCTTATTGAAGAAATTGGGATGCCTAAAAGTATCAAAAGTCATTGAACAGAACAAAAATTGTCCAATTCAGCCAAGTTTAAATTGATTATAAGCCTACAAATTGAGTTTAAGTCGATTAGGATTTTGAAGCCAAGCCACTAGTCTATAAACAACATTGATATCACGACATCCTTGGAAACAAATTTGGTTCTGGTCAAATAATATCCTGTCAAATAATATCCTGACATCCTGGAATGTGCCGAAGTTTATGATGTTAATGATTTGAGCTGAATCTGGTTTCCACTTGTTCATGTATTGTAAATCATTCTATTCTTTGATCTTACTTTTGTTCTTCATCCTAATCATGTCTCTCTCTAAATATAATGCATTGGTCTTAGTATTGTTTTTTGATGTCATGTCTTATAATTGAGTTCAAATGGCTCTGCAGGTGTCTGGTTTGAAGTCTATAACTGCTAAACACTTGGCTCTGGCCAGTCAAGTCATCAGTTTTACATATGTCGTTATCCCTGGTAGGTTATGATGGAGTTATGTGCTGCTATTTCTATAAAGTCAATTCTGGAATTCTGACAGTGTCCGAATGTGCATTTCCTTGTTTATGTATAAATATGTTATATGTTTGTCTATATGCATGTATGGTGTGACATTTGTGCATGTTTGTATATGCTTGTATGTGTATGCTCAAATCCATATATGCAAACATGATGGGAAATCAGAAGCCTTAAGTGTACCTGTAGAACAAAAATCCGGTAATTATTGTTGTCTCTATCATCCCGTTTCAGATCCATTAGTAATATGCAAGTAATTGACAAAACAAAAATGAATTCTGCCGACCACTTAAATTAGAGTGTGATTACTGTGTAATTCTGGGTTTGTCAATGTAATATATTTGCAATTCCAACCATTTTGACTTGTACGCGCTTTTAATTCATCAAAGATTTGAGTAGTAATCAAGCTTTGCACAGGTTTTAGAGGTTTGTGGTGTAATTGGCCAAACAGGGTGTGTAGATTTGGTTTTACGATTTCAAACTTCCGAGTCTTTGTTTTTTTCAGATGTGATTAGTATAGGCATATGTAACTAGCAGAATCTTGATGGAACTAACATGTCAGGTAGATTGCTATTATCAGCTATGAGACAGTTTAGTTCTCGTTAATTGTAAACTACAATTGATTAATTTCTAAACTTTTTCTGCATTAGTTAATTTTATAGGTTTTCCCTCAAATTTGCTTCGAAATAGAATTTCATGAGAAAAGTTCTTTAGTTTTTAATAAATATCAAAATTTTGTTTCGAAACAGTTCAATGGATAAAATGTTTCCTTTTTCATGGAGACCAAAATACATTAGTGATTAAATCAAAATTCCTATGCTTCAAAGTGTTTCAGAACGTTTTGAGATTTTTTGGCATGTTTTCACTAGTGTTTCTGATTGGTTCGAGGTATTTCAAGTTATTTTAGTATATTTAAATCAATGTTTTGGAATTTTTTTGAAATAAATTCTTGAATTTTTTATTCATTTTCATTTTGAAACGTTCTGGTTTGCGAAATAATGTACTGAAAATGAAATTTTGATTCTTGGTTTTTAAGACTTAACCAATAGAGGCTTTGAGGTTTCTGATCGTGGAGACAGTTGCTTATGGCCATGGTTCAGGTGCAAAAAAATTTATATGGAGAATATATCAATGATCTCATTCTAAATGCTCTCTCGCTCTCTCTCTATCTCTCCGCGTGTGAGTGTGTGTCTGTGTGAGAAAGGGTTGATCAGCTTTATTTGATAATATTTTCTGAATATCAACTTTATTTAGCACTTGATAATTTGTATTTATATTTTGCTTATTGAAATGGAAATGTAGTGCATTTAGAATCTGCCATTCACTGAATTTTATTGACAAAATACTTGGTTTTTCTCAAGTAATGTCATGACGTATTTTACTCTTTGGAACTAAGAACTCAGGAGGGTTCTGTTCCTGAAAGTGCCTGATTCACGAAAGGGATTGCTGTTGTTAGAGATGGATCGACTAGCGCAGGTAAGATAATATTCAAGTGGCTTCACCCTACCTCTCAATCTTATATCTACTGCTGTACAACTTCATCTTTAGACTTGGACATTTGTTTTGTAACTTTGTTTGATTGAAGGATTTATGAGTGTTCAAGAATGTGTGAGGAATATAACTGCTATTAAAGTGATCAAATTATATGCCCTCCTCTGGGTACAAGGTTGGATCTGTATTTTAGTACACCTCAACATCTGTTTGAAACAAATGCAATATAAAACCAATGCAAATTAAGAAAAGTTGGAGGATTCATTCTATAAAATTGAAAGCACTCCATAGTTTGTTGAGAGTCTTGTTCTTGGTTACTGGATCGGAGATCTCGACCTTATGTCATTTTTGTATCTTGTCTCCATTTTGCAACTTGCATTGCTAACCTTCCATGAGAGACTTTTTCTAAATAATATTTCGTAAGTAGTATTTTAAGATGCTGGATACAATGAATCATGAATAAACTATATAATTAGATACCATTTAAAACCTACATCATCTTTGATGTCACCTTCCTAATATGGCAATAGATGGAAATGAAATGGATTGCAGACTGAGAAAAATATCTGCATATGGTATCTATTAGTGGCCCCACCTGTGCCATGTATGGGATTTAACACCTTTGGTCTTCTCATCCATTTCCTTCCTCATCAATCCTTCCCCATCTCTCACTCATATCACTTGAGAAGTTAGATGAAGAATAATTGACAAGTTAATTGTGTAGTAAAAGTAGTTTTTAGATAAATTGAATAAATGATGGGTAGTTATTAGGGGATGAGATGTGTGATTATGGATAACACATGGTAGAATTTAGTGAAATTGGTTATTAGCATAACAATATATATTGGATTTGAAATAGCACGTGATGTGGTCCCTAGGGGAATAATGTGGGGTGTTTAGACTTAATAGGAGTTCATTGAGATACATTGACCTAATTGATGACATTTATGATGAGTTCATAACAAGTGTGAGATTAGTGGGGATACTATTAAATTTCCTGTAACATTAGGCTTTTCATCAAGGAGCTGCAATCAGTCTGTCTTTTTCCTATTGGTTATTGATGACTTCTAGTGGTGCCTGCTGCTTGCTTTAGAGCTGGGGTTAAAACTTGTTAAAAAGTAAGGAAGAAGCATATTGAGATAGGCTAGACTTTTTTTCCTAAGAAACAAATTTTATTAACAGAAAGAATAAAGTATTACATAGTCCAATTGAAATTGGACAAGTCGTCCAACCCTAAAAACTCAAAAAGAAAAAAAAACAGAACATAAAAACAGAAAGCCACAACCATTCAGCCCACAACTCGCAAACTAAATCCACACGAAGCTGTCAAACTTGATGTGATACAAAAAAGTGGGACACTCCCAAATTCTTTTGGCGCAGAAGCCAAAAATGAAGCTAAGAAGTATATTCGGTCCCACATCTCTTCAAACATATTCTCTCTATATTCAAGAATTCTCGAATTTCTTTCCAATCAAATAACCCAAATGATCGCGAGGAAAATATATTGCCAAAAAATAATGCCCTTTTCTCGACCTCCTAAATATTTGAAATCCACGCAAAACAGGATGAAATAGATCGTGGGACCATCCAACAAAGCCCTATCAACTTAAATAATTTATTCTAAAACCGTAATGTGGTAGAAAAATGTAAGAATATATGGTCCACACTTTCACAATTTGCTCAACATATGAGACACCATTGCAAGGAAAAGTTAGTGTAAGATCTTCTGCTTTGGATCACATCATAAGTATTGATCTCAGCAATTTCCAATGCAAAAACTTGCACATTCAAAGGCATCTTGGTCTTCCAAATTTTATGACAGGTAGAAGATTGAAATAGAGGGATCTTCAATCACGGATTCGAAAAAAGACTTGCATGAGAAGGATCTTGATGGGTCAATGACCCAACACCATTTATCAAACGAATCTTGGTTCTAACTGATTGGATTAAGCAAGGAAATTAGTGACACAAGTTCCAAAGATTCCTATCCCTAAGATTGGTTAGACTTTGAAAGTTCAAGTTTAAGACTGTGACTGATTATGCCAACTAGAGTTGCAGCAAAACTAGTAATAGGAATGAAGGCTTAGTGAATTTGATGGCCATTGGATACCTTAGCATGACCATTTCTGCCTTTGGTGATATTTGATGAGGGCAGATTGAGGACAACATAGTAAGTTTATTTTGAACAAGATGGATGAAAACCAGAAGTGCTTCTTGTATATTATTAGATTGTGAAGTCTTGGCAACTGAATGAAAAGTTTGAACATGATTCATAGTGTGGGGGATTAAGAAACAATATGTTTGGAAAGTGAACATACTGAAAGAGTCCCTGGGGTAAAAATCCTATGTAAACATGCCATGTAAAATGAAAACAAAAACTATAAATTTATAACTACATAGTCTACCAACCTATGCGAAATGAAGGAAATAAACTGAAATGAAGATGTTGAGATGGATGGGTGGACCTGCAGAAGGATAGGCAATGAATGCATTTATTTGGGGCAAGTCTAACATGGTTTACTGATGTAGAACATATACCAACAGAAATGCAGGAGTTACGGGTTCTAGTTGAACGTTATAAAAGGGCTAGAGGAAAAAAGCAGAAGGTAGGCCATGGGGATAATCATTGTTTCCTTGGACATTGGACTTAGTTGAGGTTACAGATTTGAAAAAATGTGGCTGGGAGAAAAGAATATCAGTGGTTAGCTCCAAATAGTTTGGATGAATATGAGTTCAGTGGCCATTGGATGATGCAATGCTTAAAGCTCAGGTTGTCATGTTGGTTTGATTGTTTGGGAAAGCTACAACCTTTAGAGGTGGTTCAGTGTTCAAGACTGTCCTCTTGCATGCAAGAGGTCTCAGGTTCGATATTTTTTACACCTCTTAAGAGCCACCCTTGTTTCTCAAGGGATATGTCCTTAAACTAGCTCGAGTTACGGTGGCCAGTTCAGANATATGAGACACCATTGCAAGGAAAAGTTAGTGTAAGATCTTCTGCTTTGGATCACATCATAAGTATTGATCTCAGCAATTTCCAATGCAAAAACTTGCACATTCAAAGGCATCTTGGTCTTCCAAATTTTATGACAGGTAGAAGATTGAAATAGAGGGATCTTCAATCACGGATTCGAAAAAAGACTTGCATGAGAAGGATCTTGATGGGTCAATGACCCAACACCATTTATCAAACGAATCTTGGTTCTAACTGATTGGATTAAGCAAGGAAATTAGTGACACAAGTTCCAAAGATTCCTATCCCTAAGATTGGTTAGACTTTGAAAGTTCAAGTTTAAGACTGTGACTGATTATGCCAACTAGAGTTGCAGCAAAACTAGTAATAGGAATGAAGGCTTAGTGAATTTGATGGCCATTGGATACCTTAGCATGACCATTTCTGCCTTTGGTGATATTTGATGAGGGCAGATTGAGGACAACATAGTAAGTTTATTTTGAACAAGATGGATGAAAACCAGAAGTGCTTCTTGTATATTATTAGATTGTGAAGTCTTGGCAACTGAATGAAAAGTTTGAACATGATTCATAGTGTGGGGGATTAAGAAACAATATGTTTGGAAAGTGAACATACTGAAAGAGTCCCTGGGGTAAAAATCCTATGTAAACATGCCATGTAAAATGAAAACAAAAACTATAAATTTATAACTACATAGTCTACCAACCTATGCGAAATGAAGGAAATAAACTGAAATGAAGATGTTGAGATGGATGGGTGGACCTGCAGAAGGATAGGCAATGAATGCATTTATTTGGGGCAAGTCTAACATGGTTTACTGATGTAGAACATATACCAACAGAAATGCAGGAGTTACGGGTTCTAGTTGAACGTTATAAAAGGGCTAGAGGAAAAAAGCAGAAGGTAGGCCATGGGGATAATCATTGTTTCCTTGGACATTGGACTTAGTTGAGGTTACAGATTTGAAAAAATGTGGCTGGGAGAAAAGAATATCAGTGGTTAGCTCCAAATAGTTTGGATGAATATGAGTTCAGTGGCCATTGGATGATGCAATGCTTAAAGCTCAGGTTGTCATGTTGGTTTGATTGTTTGGGAAAGCTACAACCTTTAGAGGTGGTTCAGTGTTCAAGACTGTCCTCTTGCATGCAAGAGGTCTCAGGTTCGATATTTTTTACACCTCTTAAGAGCCACCCTTGTTTCTCAAGGGATATGTCCTTAAACTAGCTCGAGTTACGGTGGCCAGTTCAGATTTCAATGGAATAGTCGGTGCAAGTTTGGACACCCTGGAGCCAAAAAAAAAAAAAGCTACTGCTGCAACTAATATTGGAGGTATTGCCGATTCCACCTGCAAAACAACTTGTTTTGTGGTTCTTTGTTTAAGGAAAGCATGTTGGAGTAGTTAAAACAGGTATAGAAGTGATAATAGGCTTAGGGATGCAAATGCATTGGAATTGGCTTGCTTTTAAGCAAACTGCAATAAATGAAAAGGTGAAAAAGGAATTCTTTTGTACTTGTTTTTATGAATGTCTTGTTTGTGGCTTTCCCAATTCCACCTGAAGTCATTAGGCTCAATCTCTTGGGTCTTAGTTATCTCCACAATATGAACTTTCTTTAAATTCCATTGGGGATCTCCATTTTGCCCAGAATAGTTGTGAATATTAGGGATCCTGTTGGGAACATCATTTCTGTTATCCTAAACCTGCAGCCTCTGGAAATTCTGTGGTTTTGAGGGTTTGAGACTATTGGACAGCCTTTAGGAAGAACTTAAGGCACTCAATTATGGAAGGAGACTTCACCATGTTATGGATTACAGACAGAAAAACTCTGTATTGAACAGTTATTTGTCCTTCGGACACCCATTGTTTTTGTTAGAGTTCTTATTTTATATTATTAGTAGTGTAGGCTAATATTATAATTACCCATAATATCAATTTATTATAAATAAGAGGGTGGAGGGCAACATAGCTCTCACACAGTATTTTCTCAATCTCTTTCTTCCTCTTTCTCCTAAACCTATAACCCTAATACTTAATTATTTGAGTTTCAACTATTTTCCGCCATTTTTCTTTCCTTTGCTATTTGTTCTTTGGTTGTTATATAGGTATGTAATTTTTGTTACCTGCATATAATATTGCCTCTCTTTTCTTCTTTTAGGACTATAAAGTTCACCGAGACGAGATACACACAAAGTTGGTCCAAATAATGAGGGAACGGCTGTTGATCCATCTTCGTGGATTGCTGCAAATTGTTGAGAATTGGAACAGGCCTGAAGATGCTGATTCACAGCAGCCTAGTCAGTTTGCTCGCTCCCTCACAAAGGTAATTAATGTTAAGAATTCCCTCATCTACTTTACATTTTTATTTTTTAGATTTTTCGAACTATTATATACTAATATTATTATCTTACTCAATTGCCAACACTTAAATTACTTTCAGATAAAATAAAATTCATTAAATTTGATGGAGGAAAACGTTTAAAAGGAAATTCGTGTTTGTTGACCCAGATTAAAACCGCACTGTCTATGTATTTGTTGATGGGTGACTGATTGGTGGCCTTACCCATATGGTTCTTGATTGTTTATTGTTTTCAACTGCTGGAATCCAATTCTTTGATGCTGCAACTCTAGTACAACTATGGTAATTAATCTTGTCGAAAATCTGGAGAGTTTTGAGTTTTTTCTCTACCAAACTATATTTAGTCAATCAATGCAGAAATCTTGATTGCTTAGGAGAAATGGATGAGAAAAAGAAATGAGGTGCAGCAGCTCAGCTAGTACACTTTGGTAGGTATTGCTGCACAGAGTATGAGTACAAGGATACACCAATGCATTTTGCCTTGAACACCATCTCAATCTCAGATAGTAAGATAATAAAGGTGGTGCCTGTTGTATTTTTATGGTAGTTTTGACACAGAAGTCATTTTGGATATCTTGAAGTCAAAATTTGCTGACTTCAAATATTTTTGGAACTTGTTTAATAACCATGAAGAAGACCACGTCCGGCCAGCATATGTGGAGGGTCACGAATTTAGTGTCTTTTTTATGATGTGTAATGTTACGATCTTCTTGTCTAAAAAGCTTGTTTCAGCTGTGGATTTGTTTCTGTTCTTTATGTTTCAAACTTGTGAAATTGATGTAGGACAGCTGTACTAACTTGTAACATTGCTTTTCAAGTGAGTCTAATTAGGGGTATTTTATGTTGAATGATATCTATCCAAGTGTTCCCCAAGTAATTTAGTTATCTAAAGTTTTGCTCATGTTTTGTTTATGTTTTTTTGTTTGCAGGAAGTTGGCTTTCTTCAACGTGTCTTATCTCGAACTCTGCATGAGGTAGATGTTCAAGCAATTTTCAGGTGAGAAAGAATGTTAGCATGCTAAAATGCTGTGGGATGATTGACCCTTTTTAACCTTATATTGTTTTTATTGCTTCTGATAAACATAGATATATACTTCCAGTCGCAATATGGATCCTGCACAATCCTTTTTGTGGTGGCAGGACATTTCACTCAAGTTCACTACAGGTGGACAATGAATTGAGATCTAAAATGACAATCCATTGAAGTCATTGCACCAAGTTGAATATATTTAGTATATACGGACAGATTGCTTTGGTGTCATGGTGTCTCTAATTACTTGGAGCACCCTCAAATGTCAGAAATGATATAAAGATTCCCTGGGTAGTTTGTTTTAACAAAATCTCCCCTCTTGAATATAATACATAGAACCCCCAAAATGACAGAAACAACATAAAAGCCCTGAAGTTTTGGATGTTATAATGGGAATGTTTCTCCCTAGCCGAAATTGAAAATTTTAGTTTTTCAATGATATTGCACACGCATGGCATGCCATGAGTTACAGTACTATTTTAAGTAGACCATTCATCATATATATTTCTCTTTCATATACAATTCAATGTTGCTGTCATAAGTAGTGAGGTACTTCATATTGATAGATGCAAGCTGGGGGCTGGGATTGGTAGCCTAAACTGTAGTATATTATTGTTGCGTATCTATCCATGGACTTTTTGCTTTGTTTTCCATTTTGTTATTTTTAATGCGAATAGTTGTGAACACATTACTTTTAACATTTTTCTCTAAAAATATCTGGCATTTCCCTGTGGGAGCTTAATTTATTTTGTTTAGGATAGAATTAAGTGTTGCTTTGCCATGCATCATAGCTGGCGTGGAGCTCAAATCTTCGATTGAAATTCCTGTCAACATAGGAAATGTGTGGTCTTTATTCAAACAAACCAATGAATAAAATGTGTCTTGGAAAATACCTCTTGGATCCAGCCTGGTGCTTGTAACTGGTGCTTTTAAACTTATTTATCTAGATCCCTGTTCCATTGGGTTCATTTCTTTTGGAATGAAAGTATAACTTACATTTCCATAGCTAGGAATTGTGGTTTTCATTAAAATAGAGCTAACATAATGAAAATACAATCAACTCAACTAAACCTTGTCCAAAAATTTTTGTGGAACTTGTTAATTAAAATGCACCCCCTAAATTTTCAGTGGTCTAGTATGTTCTTGTCCTATAAATGAGGGAAAAACAAGGTGTGATATGCAGATCTAGGTATGTGACCCTGGTTCAAAATTTTGATGGAGCAGCCTAAGGGTAGATATGCTGCCAAATTAGTGAACCTCAGTTCGGATCTATTATGACTTGGTCATGGGGCGCGCAACGGACCTTTTTAATCTTATAGAACCTTTTCTGTAGTTTGGGTTGATGCAAAAACGACCTTTTTGTACAAGCTAGTGTATATTCATATCTCAATTAGAAGTTCTTAGATGGAGCTGCTTCATGTTTTACATAGAAGATATTACTCTATTTCAAATCACGTAAGCAACCATTAGCCATTACTAAGAGACATCCCAGTATATATTTAGTTATTTGAAGGTCTCTTTTAGACTGAGCTTGGAGAATTTAATCAGCTAAGTTAATGGAACCATTGTGGAGTTTTGATATGATTGTGGTGGAGGCAGAGGTTGGGATATTAGTGGGGCTTGCTGAAATACATATGAAGGTGGTAAATTGGTCCTGGATTGATGAGAAAATTGTTTGAGGGTAGTGTGGTGGACGTTGTAATCCTTTGTTTTGATTGTCCTGCATTTTGCAATCCCTCCATTTAAATATTTGTTAATAGCATCTATTAGAATAAGAGACAATTTCATTTGATTTTCAATTTCCTTCAATTATTTTATTTCGCCTTTCTATTTTAGACGCTAAGAAACAAAAGGCACTTGTCCTGTGAATTCAGTTTATTTCTGATTGCATACTCCTCATTTGAACTCACAGCTGTAGAATCTTGAAACTGTGTCATGTTATGTAAAATAGACTCCACCTGATCCATTTGCTGCCTATTAGTTCTGTGGACTGCTTCCAGTCACCTTATTTTATCATGTGGAACGTGATTATTGCACCTCGTTGAGAGTTATTTTGCAAAAGCACATATAATGTTGACTTACTGCCTACATAACATATTTTGTTAGTTTTCTCATATAATTGCTGGCTTTATAGCCCTCATCTGTTGGCTGTTGCTTCTACATATAATCGGCACGGTGTGGTACTTGCAGGCAAGTGGTTATAATCTTCCACTCACAAATTTCAGAAGCATTTTCACAGCTTGAGATTACCACTCCACAAGCAAAAAACAGGTACTAGCACTTTATTACTTTATTACATAATTTCAGAAATTCTGCTGTTTATTTTTTTTCACAAGACCCAATTCTGGCTGGATAATTTTTTTACAAGGCATAATGCTGCTGCTTAATTTTTCAGAAGGCATAATTCTAAAATGTCTGCATAAACAAGACCAAATGAAAGGAAAACAAATGATTTCGTTATCAATTGAAGTTGTATTTTTCCTGCATACCAGGTTCTATCGCGATATTCAGCATATTCTTGGTTGCATTAGATCATTGCCATCTGGTGATTTGAGTGAATCCGGTACCCCAAACTGGGGGCAACTTGATGAATTGTTGGTGCAAAGATTTGGCACCGAAGCTGGTCAATAAGTGATGTTGTAAAGTAGCAAATGAGTTATATTTTTTTCGACACTAACCAAATCTGATGAGAACAATCTAAGGATGCCAAATACCGGAGCATTGACGTTGTACATTGAATTGAGGTAAAGTATTTGATATAATTGTTTGCAGTGCTCAATATTGTTGAAGTCTTCATGTATTTATTTTACATCTACATGAATGAATAAAGTTGATCTTGATATGGCACTGCTTGCAGCACCCGATATCTGTACTCCCTTCTTGTGTTGGTGTCCAGTAGCTTTTCAACTAATGCCTCATTATCTGCATGCTAATTTACATGCTTACATGTGGCTGCGATTTTATCTTTGCCCGTCTGATAGGTTAAAGATACCAAATGCAATTAACAATCTTTGTGATTGTAATCATTTATTATTACGACTTAAGGTTTGTTTGCTTTTCCATAGTATACCATATTAGATTCTTCTGTGGCAGATGTTTTTATTCAAGGCCCTCATGTCGCAGACAATACTTTCTTTACATGAAGTTCCTATTTCTTATGTGGCTGCAACTAAGAGAGTTAATTCTACCTGCATCTTGGAGGGAGTGATTGATTTATGGTGGGATGTATGCCTTAGCATCTAAAATACAGCTAGGCCCTGTAATGATTACACCACCCCCTTTGATTGCGGCTGGTTTATCAATCAGAAAAACTTGCAGCCCATATTGGTTTGGTATCTTTTACAACCGACCCTTGGGCTCTTCTCAAGATTCTCAACCCCGTAGGGGTTGATGCAAAATTTTTGGGAGGCTAGTTGATTGCAGGAGAGTGGCCCTGCCATGAACATCTGCCTACATGAATTGACAGATGGGGATATCTGCCCCTTGATTGGGCAGTTTAAACCTAACTGACATAGGATAACCGTATTCTATCCCTCCTTATATAGGAAAAGCCTTGGGAGAACAGAGTAGAATTTAGGATATCACTTCATTTTCATGCTCTTTTAAAATGCAGACATTATCTAACTTTGTAGAAGTTCTGAAAGGTTCGTAAGAAAATCTGAAAATTCTGCAAAAGTTTAGAATCATACTAGCTTACTATCGCTTCTCATGTTTTATCACCTATTGGGCTCTTAATTCTGTTGTGTTTGACTGATTAATGTACTTCCAGTTGACTAGATAATCTGAATCTAATTGGTCCCTTTTGGCTTCCTATTGACGTTTTTATTTGGACTTTCATCTCTTATTATCTGAGTTTTATGTAGTGTGATTATAACATAATTATCTTCAACTATGCGTGCGACTTGGTTGGTCTGCAATGTATAGACTGTAATTTGCCTTGCATGCTCTCACCAGTTTCTTACAATTGTCAATTTTTTTTTAGGTGGTTTACTTATTGGGTAAAGCACTACCATATTAGACAAATGTGATGGGAAGAAGGGTCTTTGGAGACGTTTTTGCAGTTGGTTACTGGATACACAATTTGCAAACCAATTGGAACCATGACGTTTTGTAGACATGATTGTATTTACTTGGTTTAGGCACAAACACGTGAGTTTTTTTGAATTAGGGAACTAAAAGAATGTGTTGTTTTCCCTATTTTGTCTTCTGTTCTTTCCTTTTCAGGATGCTGCTATCATTTTCATTGTGTAGTTGTATCAGTGGCCTCTGATGAAAATTTTTCTATCAGTTTTCTGCAAATTGGCCTTCGTAATGTATTATTTTGGAATCGCTTTATCAGATTTTATTACAGCGTTGAAGTGGATGTGGTCTCAGTTATTGCACAGACATGTTACACTCATCTCTTCAAGTTTTGATTTACCTAATGATCTGTTTTTCATTCACTTTGTACTGTGAATATGGATAATTTCTGTTTTACATTTATTTATAGATTCCGATGACTTTTCAAACGTGTTGCACAGCTGCGATGATTTCTTATTTGTATAAATTCTTCTTCTTTTTTTTCTTGGTGTAATTCAAGTCCAAAACACGCCGAACCCCTCTGGAATCTAGGACTCTACACTTCGCCCCTCAGGGGTTTGGATTAAAGTGTAATAGCTAACAAGGTTCATATAAATGAGCTAAATTTAATGTTTTGTTTGGTGTAATAGAAAAATGGAAGGATGAACAGTTGAAAGGATAGATAAAATTCATGTTTGGTAAAGAAGAAAAAATAGTCAATTTTTAACCAAAAAAATTTTGGTTCTAAAATGACTGACCTAAATATAGATCAATATTAAAGGGTTCAAAATAAGTGGGTTAAATATTAGATCAATTTCTGATGTATATATATATACAATAAATTTGAGAATAAAATTATGCACCCTATTGAAACATCCCATTTTATTACCATAACTTTGTTACAGTTTTGTGCACTTAAACGATATCATGGAACTTCTCTCATTTCTAGCCTATTGCGACACCTCCCATTGTGCATCAGAGCAATGTCATATTCAAGTGTTGGCCAAAATAAGAACATAAGAGCAATTAATAAGAAAAAAAAGGAAAAATATTGAATGAATAAGAGCAACTAATAGAAGCATAGTGACACAAAATATAATGCAATCGACATGATTCTTTTATCTAGAGTACAAACTATCAAGATACTAATTAACAACTAGAGGAGAATAAATATTTAATCCAACTTCATTTCCAAGATAAGCACCTAAATGCAACACAAAGGCCAATTAGGAAGGTAAAACTGTGAATATATTACACCATTGGGGAAAATGGCAGCTACAATATGGAATATAAATAACAAATTCGAAGGGTTATACGAGTATATGCTCACAGTAGCATACGCTTGAAGTTGTGCCATCACTATAGTGATGTTATGAGAACGTTTCAAAGTAGTTTAGCACCATAGATAATAGTTTAGGCATTTGGGACAAAGATAAATGACTTGTTTGGTTTGCGTTTCAAAAAATAATATCCAAAAACAGTTTTTGAAAAGAGTTTTAAGAAAATAGTTTTGATATTTTTTGAGATAAAAAACTTATTTGGTTAGATGATTTCAAAAATAATTTTACAATATAGAAAATAATAAAACATGTTTGGACAATCTAAATATATATTTGAACAATAATTCAAACATTAATAAAAAAAATATAAAAAAATTATTTTTAGATTGACAAATTCATAAAAAAAAAAATTCAATAAACCAAACTTTAAAATATCTATATAAAAAAACAAGAGTGTGTTTGAATTTTATCCTAGTCATATTTTTCCCCTCAAAACCATCACCAATCACTTATCTCACCCATCATCCTTTTGTCAGTCTCAAACGTCAAATTGCATTACTCATTTCTATCACATATTTAATTATTTATATATTTCTTCCCTAAAAATATCATATCACTCATTTCTATCATATATTTAATTATTTAATATTTAATTAATTTGTAGTTAATGTATTTTGAAAAAATTTAATATAGTGGAATCAATTTTTTAGACACTCGAATTTTATATTTTATCGTGCCTTCAGGCACGAGTTATTACTAATATATATATATATATATACCCATATATATATATATATATATATATATTGTTTTCCTTATTTCCAAAATTTTCAAAGAAAACTCTGAAAATAAGTTACACTTGTTTTCCGTTTCTTTAGCTCAAATCTTATTTTTTTCCTAAAATTTAGAAAACAAAAATGCTAAACAAACAGGTTTTGAGTGTTTTTGAAATTTTGAGAACAAAGAATTGTTTCTAAGATGATAACCAAACATGACTAAAATCTCTGGGAGAGAGAGATCCAGGATAGAGGAACTGAAAAAATAATTTTTTTTTCTTATTTAGCTTATCTAGGTTTACCATCTTATTCACCTTCATTCTGATAGCCACTATTACCAATTATTAGATCATGTATCAAAAAGTAAAAAAATAAAACGTTGCTATTGGCGACTTTCATGAGGATGGAAATCAAGAATATTCAATCTCATACCATCTCTAACATGAAGAAACATTATTCATTAATAGAAAGATGAATTTGTCTAAGTTTCTCTTTCCTTTGGTCGTCATCCAATTATTTATCAAATAAAAAGAGTTCATACTCATGGTCAGAAAGATTTTAAAAATTCGGTCAGGCTTGGCCCTATTCCAATTATAGATCAACAATGGGATTGAGCCAGCATGCAAATGATTTCCAAGTTTTGGATGATAATGTATCAACATTTCACAAACACATTAAATACAAAGTGGTACCTCACATAGACTCGGCCAAGTTTCAATTGGGTTCTTTTTTTTTTTTTTTTTTTTTTTGGGCAAGGAAAAAGATATGTAAGTAGAATTTAGGTCCATATGAGGGCTAACAACATTTAGAAGTAAGGAAACAAAGTTTACCAATCCTTATAACATTGATATCTCATTGCTTTCGAGATCTTACATTTGTGACGTCGGTCCTTAAGAACTGTTGGGTATGTTTCCACTATGCTATAGATTGAGAACTACAAAAACCTTTTTGTTAACATGAAACTAAAAATTTCCACATTCGAAACAGAGTACAATATTCACCCTACTTGGATGTAATCCACCCTTCTCAAGTTATGCAGCAACTTTATTTAAATTTGAATAACCAAATTGTCAATAGCAGGCCACTCCTTAAAAAAGTTAGAATTTAGAGCATTGAATGAATTGGAATGGCGGCCAAACATATATTTTGATACTAACGTAACTAAATATCGTTCTTGGTTAAATTCCAAAGACCTCTTACAAGGGCATCATCATAGAATTTGCAATAATAGCATCCCTTTCTTTTCCGTTGAAACCAAAAACCGTAGATAAGAAACAAATTCTATAAATAAATAAGGGTGCCTATCTTCAAAAAAGTTATTTATGCAAACAAGAAGTAACAAATGGATTAATTAAGCTGCCATGATGTTTGGCCTAACAATTGTGCACCAAAATATTCAGGAACTTCACATTATTAAGGCAAATTGTGTAAAGAATATAGAGAATGCATACCATAAATGAATGCACTGCGGAAAAGCCAACAATAACAGTCTCAAAAGGTCTCAATCCATTGCCCA